GACAAATCGTCAGAGTCCGCGCACAGCATATCAATCCAATCTAGGTCCTCCTTTGATGGTACGCTATTCGTGGGGCTCGGATCAGCCTGCGCAACCAGCCTCTCCTCCGCAGGGACCCGTGCCGCGTGAGCCAGCACGGTGCCCTGCTGAATGACGGCCGGCCGCGCCCCAGCGTTTAAAACCATGACAAACGGATCCCTGTCTGCCCCAACCAACGTGTGAGCCACCGATAAATCGAGACCTCCAACAGCCCTATTAGAAGGACCCAAAAGCATGGCCTGTTCCGAGGCCTCCTTCCCCCATGGCTTCCGTAACCGGAGGGGAATCAACATTTGTGAACCCGGGGGCACGTGCACGGTCTGTGTTGCTAACGCCTGAATGGTAGCGCACGCCGTCCGAATTACATTAGGGCTCGTCAAAAATGAAATACGGCGACCCGATGGTAGTTCAATGCAACGCTGATCAATGAGAATTTTGATGGGCATTTTCGCCAAAAAATCAGTGCCCAATAGGCAAGGAACCGCCAGGGAAGATGAAACGAAAACGGGTCCCGACAATTTGATATCACCAATGCAAATGGACGCCCTAATCTGACCGATAATGCCCAACGATCCCCCGTTAGCGGCGTAAAATGGCACATCCACCGGAAGAAGCGGACGACATTGTACCGGGAGAATATTATAAATGAGATCCGAAATAATAGTCGCCGATGCCCCCGTGTCCACTAACACCCTGACCTCGACCCCATCAATCGATCCGGTAACGACGGATGAACCCGCTGAGGCAGCCACTATTCTGTGCCCCAATTCCGACCATTTAATGTCTCCCCGGTCCCGGCCGAACCCCCCTCTCCGAACCGAATCCCCGAACTCTACTCGGCTCTCCCTCGTCGCAACGCGACGACCCATACGTGTCGAGTATGCGGGCCAAGCATGTGAGGTGCCGCGACTTGCCGGGGTTTGCAGTGATGACTTGGGGCCTTGGTCGTCGTCCAGCCGAGGTCCCATGGCGCGCTGACGTGGGGCGCGGCAACCGGAGGCCACGTGGCCACGAAGGCCGCAGTTATAGCAGGTGATGACAGTAGTCGGAGATCTCGGTTGCTCCAGCTTGCGGGCCGCTCGCAGAGGCGAACGACCCCCCGACCTCCAGTCCCCCGCTCGTCCCGCGATGAACGCGTCCTCTCGTGGGCTGACGACTTGGGGCACGGTGTCAACCGGACCCGGAGTTGAGGCCACGGCAGCGTTGCAGACGACCCCCTGCTTCCGTTGAAGGACCTCGTGCGCTTGCATGCTCGTGGCGACCCGTAATGAAGAAATATCGGTGTCGTCGGCCGTGTTGATGGGGACCCCCAGGTCCTGCGCCAACTTGAGCAGCTGCTCCAAAACCATCGCATCTTGGCCCTCCTCGTCCATACGAGGGAACGCGGCGTCAGCGAGAGCGAGCAACGCCGTGCGGTAGGCGAGCACGGTCTCCGTGTCCGCCTTCCGTCTTGCGTAGAAATGATGGCGGCACGCCGAGGGAGGACCGTAGACTTTGGCCATGAGAGCCAGCGCATCCTTGAGCGTGGAGCGGTCCGACCTGCGTGCGGACGTGAAGGCCGCGAGCGCGTTGTCGTCCAGCATGGCAGGCAGTGCCCGCAGTGCCGTAGCGTCGGACCAGGCGGACATCTCTTGATGCGCCAAAAATCTTCGCTGAAATTGGCTCCAATCCCCGCCTTCCGCCTTGAATGCTGACAACGTGGGAAGGCGCTGCTGAAAGATAAAGTCGTCCTCCTCCTCGTGCTTCCTCTCTGCCCCCCCGTCGGTGTGTAAGATGGCGGCCCCAGTGGCGGGTGTGTGATGGCGGTCCGCCGCGCGCGTTGGTGACGTCAGCGGCCGCGCATGGAGAACCGCTGCCACGTGGTGATGGCCGTTCCCGCCAAAAGTTGGAGCGGATGAAATGGCGGGAATCGCCAAATCGTTTTGGCGGGAATCTGCAGGGCGACCCTGTAGCACGTCGGCCGCCGTCCCCGCTCCTCCCGACGAGCTGATCTCCGCCAAGATAGACGCGGCGGTGAGCAGCAGCTCCGCCAGACGGGAGTGTGCCTCGCGAAGCACGGTGTCAGTCCCCCGTCGCTCGACCGGCGCCGTCGGTGGATCCTGCCCCGTGGGCAGCTCCTCTTCCTCACCCCCTGATGCCCGCTGGCCCGCGTCGTCGAGGTTGTCCTCGTGGTCAATCCTGTGGGTCCGACGGTTCCTCCTTGTATCCATGCTTGGAGGACCGTTTCACTTCTGACGCCAGTTGAAGTATGGGAATTGACGGCAGAAACTTCTTGACGGGTAACACACTTTTATTAAATCCTTTAGGTATCACAATACAACGTGTGGTCTCTCTTCTTCCTCCGACACACTCCACTAATCTCGTGTAAGCTCTAGGCCTCTGGCTACCCCCGATACACTTGACTCGTGTAGACCCTATGCCTCTGGCTACACACAATATACTCGACTCGTGTAAGCCCTATGCCTCTGGCTACACAATACACTCGACTCGTGTAAGCCCTATGCCCTGGCTACACATAGTACATTCGGCTCGTGTAGACCTATGGCTACACCCACTACACTCGCCTCTGGGTTACACAGAGTCCCGGTCCCCTTAGGACAGCGGGGCTAGGTACCGCAGGGCTCTAGGTCTTCATCCCCGTCTTCCTTCTTCGCTGGTTACACACTGCCCTTACGCCTGTGTGCATCCCCTTTTATAGCCCCTGCTCACGAGGGACGGAGCTGATGCGGCGTCGACGTGAGCGTCGTTCCTTAATGACCCAATCACGACGCACTCTCTCTACGATCCGCTTTCCCCAGCGCGTGTTAACATTACTCCACCAATCACACTGCGCTGCCACCTGATCACTCCCTCTCAGCGCGTCACCACCTACACATCCAATCATCACGCACTGTGCATACGATCCTTAATCCCAGCGCGTATCACCTCTACACAAGCATTGTGATCAATTGCAAGACAGGATTCCTTGTAAAAAAAATCAGTTTGGTGTTTTAACATCTTAACACCTTTTTCACATTTTCTTGCTGTGTATTTCACACTTGATAATGATTGCTTGTGTTGCAGTCGAAACGTCGTGAGACTTTTTATTTTATATTTTTATTATTTATTTCCCTTCTACGTGACGAAAAAAACAAAAAGTATGAATCCTTGCAGTCACGAAAGCTTCAAATCTAGAATCTTAACACCTGTTTTGTTGCCAGAAAAAAAGAGGGAAAAAACCTAATTATCATATTTTGGGCCTGGCAAAGGAGGTCCCACGTCCCCTTTTGTTTACCCTCTCCCACCCCAAACCCCATTCCACCCCAAACCCCATCCCACCCCAAACCCCCATCCCCCACCCCAAGCCCCCATCTCCCACCCCAAGCCCCCATCCCCCACCCCAAGCCCCCATCCCCCACCCCAAACCCCCATCCCCCACCCCAAGCCCCCATCCCCCACCCCAAACCCCATCCCACCCCAAACCCCCATCCCCCACCCCAAGCCCCCATCCCCCACCCCAAGCCCCCATCCCCCACCCCAAGCCCCCATCCCCCACCCCAAACCCCATCCCCCACCCCAAACCCCCATCCCCACCCCAAACCCCATCCCCACCCCAAACCCCCATCCCCCACCCCAAACCCCATCCCCCACCCCAAACCCCATCCCCCACCCCAAACCCCCATCCCCCACCCCAAACCCCCATCCCCCACCCCAAACCCCCATCCCACCCCAAACCCCATCCCCACCCCAAACCCCATCCCCCACCCCAAACCCCATCCCCCACCCCAAACCCCCATCCCCCACCCCAAACCCCCATCCCCCACCCCAAACCCCCATCCCCCACCCCAAACCCCCATCCCCCACCCCAAACCCCCATCCCCCACCCCAAACCCCATCCCACCCCAAACCCCATCCCCACCCCAAACCCCCATCCCCCACCCCAAACCCCCATCCCCCACCCCAAACCCCATCCCACCCCAAACCCCATCCCCACCCCAAACCCCATCCCCCACCCCAAACCCCATCCCCCACCCCAAACCCCCATCCCCCACCCCAAACCCCCATCCCCCACCCCAAACCCCCATCCCCCACCCCAAACCCCATCCCCACCCCAAACCCCCATCCCCCACCCCAAACCCCCATCCCCCACCCCAAACCCCATCCCCCACCCCAAACCCCCATCCCCCACCCCAAACCCCCATCCCCCACCCCAAGCCCCCATCCCCCACCCCAAACCCCATCCCACCCCAAACCCCCATCCCCCACCCCAAACCCCCATCCCCCACCCCAAACCCCCATCCCCCACCCCAAACCCCATCCCCCATCCCCCACCCCAAACCCCCATCCCCCACCCCAAACCCCCATCCCCCACCCCAAGCCCCCATCCCCCACCCCAAACCCCATCCCACCCCAAACCCCCATCCCCCACCCCAAACCCCATCCCCCACCCCAAACCCCATCCCCCACCCCAACCCCCATCCCCACCCCCAACCCCCATCCCCCACCCCAAACCCCCATCCCCCACCCCAAACCCCCATCCCCCACCCCAAACCCCATCCCTCACCCCAAACCCCCATCCCCCACCCCAAACCCCCATCCCCCACCCCAAGCCCCCATCCCCCACCCCAAACCCCATCCCACCCCAAACCCCCATCCCCCACCCCAAACCCCCATCCCCCACCCCAAACCCCCATCCCCCACCCCAAACCCCATCCCCCATCCCCCACCCCAAACCCCCATCCCCCACCCCAAACCCCCATCCCCCACCCCAAGCCCCCATCCCCCACCCCAAACCCCATCCCACCCCAAACCCCCATCCCCCACCCCAAACCCCATCCCCCACCCCAAACCCCATCCCCCACCCCAACCCCCATCCCCACCCCAAACCCCATCCCCCACCCCTAGGCAAGATGGCCGCCGATTGCGTCCGTCGCAGTGACGTCACGGCGGCCCCGCTATGACGCAATTCGGTGGGAGGGAGGGGGGTGGAGACCCGTGATGGCGGCGGCGGCGGCAGCGGCGGCTGTCGAGGAGGAGGCGACTCGCTTCTTCTGCCACAGCTGCACCCGCGAGGTTCACCCCAAGCTGCCCGTGAGGAGAAACGCGCCGTCTCACGAGCCTCACCCCCCTACACTTCTTCTCCTTGTTCATCGTAACCCGGGGGACAGCAGCTGCTGCGGCTGCTGCTGCGCCGATAATACAACGCCGACGAGTCTGTTCCATGATGGCCGGCTCCGTGTTGGGGTTTGATTGTTGCTGTGTCTGTCTGTCTGTGTGTCTGGGTGTTGTTGTCTCGTTTGGGGCGGGCGTCTTTCTTTATTTCTTTCGATAATGAAAGGAGAGCGAGAATGTTTACCTTAGTAAAACAAGGTTATTATATTCGATGTGAAAGATCGCGCGGTGGGGGGGGGGAGTGGAGATGGTTGAGGTTTGGTTGGTGATTGAGGAGGAGGAGGAGGAGGGGTGTTTGGGACACCTTCATCTTATTTGTTTCGGTTGTGTTGATGTGTTTTGTTATTATAGTGGGTGGTGGTGGTGGTGGGGGGCTTCGAGCCGTGTGACTCCAATCCCCCCTCGTCTCCCGCGGAGTTGTTCACGGAGGGCCACGATTTCTCTCTGCTCCGTGCTGTTTGTTATCCCCGCCTCGTCCCGACCCTTTGAGATCGAACTAAAGCGTCGCCGCCTTCCATCCCAACACCTCCCGTCGACTTCTTCCTCGCCGAATTCCCCCCCCCCCCCCCCAAGTCTCCCACCTCGGCCTCTCCGCACTCCGCGTAGCGTTTCTCAACATTCCTTACGCCCCGCTCAACAACGCGTTCAATTGTCTCTCTCACACCACTACCGATTGGGGCTTCGCTTTCACGATATTAACTGGGTTGTTATACAACAGGGGAGAGGAGTGGGAGGACCTGGATGTGATTTTTTTTGTTTTAAAGAAAGGTATAAGTAGAGCAGTTATTTATTGTGCGGACAGTAATCAAACACAAGATTATGAATCTCCTACAATCGTGTCCACACAATAACTGCTGCTCTACATATACCTTTATTTAAAACAAAAAAATAACCCCCAAGTCCTACTCTTCACTGTCCCCTGTTGTACAACACCGTTGTTTAGTTATTACATTATTAAAATGCTCAGAGGTATCTCTCCGCACCGTCCTAATGGCTTCATCACAACGCCTCGCTCGATGTTGTTGTTGTTGTACCCCCTTCTCCCACAGATGTTATCCCGACTTCCTCGGGTCCCACACCACACGATCGCCACGGACCCGAGATTCCTCCCCCAATTCCTTTCAATAATTGCCTTTCCTCAAACCCCCCCTCTATCTCGCAACCTCCTTCCCCTTTGCCTCCACCACTGCTCAATCGTGGTCTCCCTCCCTCCATGCGGTCACCCCTCATTACATATACCGGTATCTCCCATCTCTTCCTGCCACCCACAACTCTCAACACAAAATCCTTTCCTTCTCTCCTCATTTGGTAAATTTGAACCTCACTCGGATATTCTCAAATTCCAGTGGGATGTTGGCGAGGAACTGCCTTCTCGTCAAAAGACACAGAAGCAGATGGTTATTATAAGCAATCCTTGCGTGGAATTTAGTTGTATGCTAAGGCTTATCACTGAACACACTTGAAAACGCGGGTTAGCGAAGAGATGTGACCACAAGAATGTGTTTGGGACTAGCAGACGAGACGCACACACGAACATATCATTGTATAGATACATGTAAGGTTCACAGAAGGACTGATTTAGCAGCCACATGTGCGAGTGAAAGAATAGAGCAGGCCATTTACACAGGCGTAAGAATAAGAATTGAAAACGATGGTTGACATCTCAGGAATTGAAAAACCATTCTGTCTTCTTCGCCACATCCATGTAGCGACTGGCTACCACGCAACTTTCTGTTTTTTTTCTTGTATGTTGTCATTCCCATCAATATATAAGCCTAAACAAATCCCAAAAAGTTAGCATTTCCTGGCAGTGTATATTTAGTAATTACATTTTTTCTTTCTATATGAACATGGGTTTGTTTCTTGGCCATAGCCAATGTCAGTAGCAAATCATATCTGAACTTGTCCAGGGTGCCGCTATCACCAAACCGCAATTATCTATGTGGTGAAGTACGGTCAAACAACCCCCATGGCTGACATATCTTGGTGAAGCCTTCAGCAGAGGGTCGAGCAAGCACCTTTCACGTCCATTTGTATGGTGCAGTCGTTGAAGGTGGAACTTATTTCGGTTGGTAGTTGAACCAGCCCTTTGTGATTCCACAGTTGATAGAATGAGTTTCGATTTGTGGGAAGTCAGAAGAAGCTCTTATATTGATATTCTTGCCACTGCAATATTAATGTAAACATATAAGTACTGCCCATACAAATGTAATGCGAAACCACTCATTTACTGCTATGAGCCAATAATGTCTGTGTGTCCCACGCGTGACGTCACTCCACGTCGGTCAGCCCCCCTCATTAATACTCATGAACAGATGACGTCCTCCACAAGGACCCTTGCCCCTCATTAATAATCATGAGCGGGTGACGTTACTTCACATGTAGCACCCCCCACCATTAATATTAATTAGCGGGTGACGTCACTCCACATGGGGGGGCGAGGTGCCTCCCCTCCTCAGCGTCAACTTACAACCGTCACGCGATCTCCGTAACGCTATTGAGACATCAAAGTAAAAATGATGAACAAGGGATTATAACCTTAAAATGAAATAGGGCTGTGTCACCACGCCCTTCGAAATTGCACACGCATTGATGCAATGAATATCACGTCGCAGTCTGCTTTTCACTTGCAAGTTTCAGATGCACTGAAATACACCCGTCCTTGGACGGGCAAAAGGCTAGTCTTTAATTTAAAACCCACAGTAAGGTTCTTAAAAGAGCAGTTGTACAGAAATATTTGTGAAGCAATGACACCTTTTAGCCAAAATTTTACAAGCTTGTAATATTGGCAAATATATGCGTGACTAGATCACTGTGTTAACTGTTTTTCAGGAGTGTTTTTATTATTGACAAACATACACATAATATATAGACATGGTAAAGGTACAAGCTCAAATAGTCTTTGGAAAATGTATAATAGTTGGCATTCATAGGGGCCTTTCGATTTACAGCTTTCGTGACTGCAGGGATTCATCTTCTTGGTTCTTTCAGTAAAGTCACGTAGAAGAGAAATAATACAAATAAAACATGATAAAATAAAAATGCTCACGACGTTTCGGCCACAACACAAGCAGCCATCCTCAGGTGAAGAAACAGAGCTGTCAGAAAGAGCGTCCTAATGACGGGGACGCTGTCTTTTCTACTGCTACATAAAAAAAAATCTGACTTAAGATGTCGACTGTTTGCATAAGTTTTGTCTCCCTGAGTTGTAATACAAAATGAATTGTCAGGAACCTTGACACATATTGCAAAATTCATTACAGATGAGGCATACTTTGTAAATGTTGTAAATACAATAACTGCGTAAATCTCACATACATGCAATATTCTATGATGAAATGCAATTGTGTATCATAAGTATTCTTTTTTTTACAGGAATATACCTGCCCACGTTGCGACTCTGGCTTCATTGAAGAGTTACCTGACCAGCAGCCGAGGTACACAAAATGGTTATCTTGTTTGTGTTGAGGTTTCAGAATCCTCACATGTTGTAATTTTGGTTAATGAAGAATAGATCTAATTCCGATTGAGACCATATGTCTTGGGAAAATGTAATTTTCTTCACGTTAATTATCATCCATCTTAAAGTAATCTGTTGTGATGAACACTTGCCGCTGTGCATTTATCACGTGTCCCTGGCGCAAATGCAGTGCAGTTACATGAGGTCATATACCATTTCATATTTTCTTTACTGTTTATTGCCACTATTTTTTGTTGTTGTGAATATTACCTTATTTTAACAAATATAGTTGTCGTGGAGTTAAGAGTGTAATTTTAACTTTCTTTGGTTAGAACTAGTCGAAATATATATTCGATTAAAAGTTGTCATTGTGAATGTGGCCCGTGAAACAGTGTTTAGTACACGGAACTGATTAAAGCACAACAACGATGTTGCGTATAAACTGCTCGTCAGAACCTACGTTGACTCGTTTTTACACTCCGTTTCCTAGTGCCAGCGATGGCAGCTCCACCAACAGGAACCAGGATCCCGCAGCGCAGTTTTCAGAGGTAATTGTTTTGCGGAAAAGCACTCGGCGACACACCAAGTGGTAGGGAGGATGGCCTGTTGATGTCTAATAGATTTAGCTACTTGTGTCTCCGTGATGACACTAAGATGTAACAAAAATTTCTACGCTGTTTTAAATAATTCGTATACAACGCACAAAATATTATTACAATGGAGATGTATATTGATGTAGCGGCTTTCAGTGCCTCTGTCTCTTAAGGCATCTCCACAAGGTCACTAGTTTGCAATGTGCATTTTACTGCAGAATACCACAATCTGCTATAAACTGGGCATTGGAAATCTTGTGATCTCATGAATGTCAATAAGCTTTTGCATACCAATATAGCCAAACTCTACAAATCTAAATTCAAAACGAGTTAAATTGAATATATATAACATATTTATATCACTACGTTTACTTAAGCCTCTAGCAGAAGTGACAATAAATAAATAAACAATGTTTTATACCTAAATAATATGGAAAAAAATTCACTTGAATAATCTTCTTAGTTCCACCTACAATTTACATAATAAATATAGTCCATTGGTTCATCATAGCAATGTATTATATAGTTTAATACATTGTAACCATAGCACATGACAATTCAGTACTTGAGTGGAAAAAAGAGTACATTGCTGTAAAAAAAAATCCTAATTTTTGTATAAATTTGAGCACACCCAAAGCTATATTATATGGCACATTGCACAATTAAAGAAGATCTCATTACATCAATTCAGAGAAGGCAAATTAATCTGGATTTGGCATATTTTCAGAGGTTAACGCTGGGGGGGAGGGAAGAGACTTCAAGAAAGGGACGCTGCATGCAAGAACACTTTTCATTTGTAAGGCGCTAAATCACGCAAACCAAACATCTCGAAGAGGAAGAATTGGGTACCAAGCGGGGGGGAAAGGGCACACTTGGGAGGGTCGAAATTACTTATAAATATTAAAATTTTAACTCCTGATTTGAAAACGCGAAGTGAGGAGGGAGAGCCAGAGGGGTAGGAATTCCAGAGGGGGCGGCAGTGACATCGCGACTGAAAGAGCGGCCACAAATCGTGGCCCAGGGCAGCCGTGGGGTGCAGATGACGCCAGTCGGCCGAGCGAAGAGGGCGAGCGGGTTTGAAATTAAGAAGAAAGCACAAGATCAGACTTGATGAAGGGAACTTGAACCAGCCTGCTCTTGGGGCAGATAACTCGGGAAGATGTATAATTACATTGGGAACATTGATTGTCTTTTAATTATGGCTAAGAATATATCTCTGGTAAATTAAATATATTATTTTGCCTGCAGAGGTTTTTTTTATTATGAAATAGTACACGATCATTTACAGCCCTTTGTCAGTACCCTGCTGGATGAGGATTTCCCCACGCCGTGCGGGTTGAGGTGGTTATTTGACTATACTTCACCACCTGCTGTCAGTACGGTTGATGAAAGCAGGGCGCATAGATGTGGGAGCATAAGAATAGAGTGCAACAATTATTTTCACCGCCTACAATGTAACGCCACAGCCTGTAACGCTTATCTGTGGCAGTCAATCATCCACACACTCTGCAGCCTCAGCCCTGCTCAGCTTGACAAGATCAGGAAAATTCCGGATTATTTGGTCATAGGCTGTGAATTAGTCATAGTGCTATATCTCCTAACAAGAGTGAACAAAAGAGGGTATAGTTCGTTTGCCCAGCTCTACCCAGCCACATGTGCCCCCCACTCACGGCGAGCAACGTTTGTCCTCTGCCGCAAGCTGTGGGGGCGCATGGTGATGACGTGGTTTGCCGATGGCGACGAGGACAGGGTGCCCAACCGCATGCACCCGCAGAGGCCCGGCTCTTCTTCGTCGTCGCTGCCCGTGGCTGAGAGCTTGCGGGGAGATCCTGAGCGAGACCGCGAGCGTGAGCGCGACCGCGATCGAGACCGAGAGAGCCAGGCCAGGGACCGACGCTACCGCTTGCCGCGCACCCGGCACAGCTTCCGGCGTCACCGTGTGGAGCGCTCGCCTGCCATCGAGGGGTGAGCTCACCCCACCCCCCCTCTCGCCACGTCGCTGCTGAAAGGAAGCTCACGGAGGCATTCACCCTGTTTAAAAACGCAATGTACTATAGGTGGGCCTGGTGGCTCACAAGTGCAAAGGCCTGAGGTGACACCAATGAGATTCTGTATTTGAATCTGAGTTTAATCGACCTGTGATATAAACTGCGTTGTCAAGTGTAGAGAGTTTGTGGTCCCAGACCAGTCCCCAATGACTAGACAAAAACCACGTCAAATTTGTTTCTGCAACTGCATTTTGTGAAATTAAAACTATGAGAATTGGAATTGCGACAAACATTAAACTCTGTCGGAGTGCAGTAGGAAAGTTCCGCCCTCTATTGTATGAACCAGAGGTTACTTGAAGGGATCTTTGGGACTGTTCTGCCATGTCCGTTTCCCTGAGCCACTCTAATGCGAAAGGTTGCGCTGCTGTGTGAGAGACCCAAATGGATTTATTTCGTCTCATATGATGCTGGTAGCACAGTTTTGATACACTTTAAATAAAAAATATAACAATAACATAGTCCATCCTATGTTTACCTCATTTCAGCCAATTATAGATAATTATATGGACTGATGGACAGATAGCTCGTAATTGTTTATTTCTCGTGATTATCTGATTGAATTTACAGACGGCTCTTTATGGAGCATTGTGGTTTAATTGGGGACGTGTTAACAAGCAGACTAATTGCTGCACCACCATAATGATGTGTGCATGTGTGTGGGTTTTGTATTGTTTAATTTTTACGATGGGCCTGTTGTATTCCCTGTAGGATTATCCAGCAGATGCTCGGTGGACTCTGGGGCCCTGCACGATCACCTTTCCCTCCGTTCACTCTGTAAGGAAATTGCTGCGGCGTGAATGCAGCAAAGAGAAAACAACCCATTCAAAGAAAAGCCACGCTTGCATTTCATGCAGCTGTTATATTGGAAACTGTGGATTATATATGCGTATACCATACAGGTAAAGGCTATGGCATGTGTTGTTTGACAGGAATGTGATAAATAAACCTGTGTTTTTGTCTTCCCTGTTTGTTAGTGATGTGTTACACAGTAGCCCCGCTGATTACGTGTGGGGAGCTGGAGGTCTGGACGCCATCATCACGCAAGTGTGTTACTGCCGTACAGAGTTTCGCATCTCCTATAATTTGTAATATCATTGCCAACATTGGGTCTTGGCACATCTGGTTAAACGATACATCTTGCGCAGCATTTTTAAACACAGGGCATAAAGGACGTCCCTTACCTCCTTCCGTGGATTACCATTTTCCCCGTTATGGAATTGCCTTGCACAGCATTTTTAAATGCCTGGGTATGAAGGTCGTTTTCTTAGGGATTGATGCCGACCGTGAATTTAAGCGTGCATCGCATATAATGAACTGCAATTCTCACGTACAACTGTAGATGGCAGTGCATCCATACATGTCGAGCATATTTTTTGTCGATTCATGTTTATGCTTAAATGCTTCCACTGAATTTGGGGAGTGGTAACACAGTTATTAGTGCACTGCTGCACGAACCCGACAACCTGAGTTAGATTCCTGACCACAGCTAAATTCGGTGGCGACTATTTTTAACAACCTGGGCCTTCTCTAGGTTGATTTGTCTTCAGAGGTAAACTTGTTAAGATGTGCAAACATCAGTACTGGGGAGACGAAGGTCGTTGGGCATGCTTCCGGCCACACCACTACCTCGTGTGGCTTGGCCATAATTATTGCAATTCACCCAACAGTCTGTATGGCTATAGGGGGATCTTTGTTTTGTTTGGCGATGATGTGTGCTGTTTGGCATGTTTAATACATTCATGAACAAGTCACAGAGCTTAAGAACTGGATTCAGATTTTGAAGATTGACATCCAAACAGTCAAGTAAATTTGCACTTTCAATTAAACTTGGAACAATGATAGTGTGTGAGTGCCTACCAAATGTTTACAGATTAAACAGGTGCTTGCCAATCTCAGGGGCAGTTTAGGAGGAACGAGCTGTGGTTTTAACAGCTCCATTGATGATACAAACAAAAGTTCAGTAATAATTAAGTGTTCGGAGGTTGCAGCCATCTTGCCAGTAACATCTGGAAACACAGCAGTGTTTGTGCAACAAGTCGGACTGCTGACGAAACTCGGAAGGTCAACGTTTACTTGCTTATATTCTGCATGATAACAATGGTCTGAAAGGCCTTGAGACGAAATGTTCTCAACTATTAGGTGGGATTAACAGAAGCCTGTTCATTATAATATGAGGCAAGTGCAAATAGACTTTGAAAGAGTGTAAGAGATACAAAGAATATGCTGGTACAGCAAAACATCTTTAAAACTTGCACAATTATGCGTGGCCAAATGTATAAACATATTTGCATGAGAAAATTGCTTGCTTTAAGATAGCACGCTCTGCTCTTAAAACCACCTCTGTTAAATGCTTACAAGTGAATTTCCTGAGCCTCACGTTGGTCAACATGCAGGCAGCCAATTTTCCACTCAAGTTAATTATTAACCAACATTCGACACCAAGTACGCAGCCCCTCCACTAAGCCAAAGCGACCATATGTGGCATTGGATATTCTGGTCTGTGTCATTGGCAGTGGTGTTAATTCTGGATTTGTGCACATTTCCTCCCTGCCCAGCTGCTGGGACAGTTGGACAACACGGGACCCCCTCCGGCTGACAAGGAGAAGATCTCATCCCTCCCGCGGATCACGATCGCGCAGGAACACCTCAGTAATGTGTTTAAAAAATGACTCATCTGCTCCATCTGTAAACGCTAACAGCTCCCAGTGCCTGTGAGCCCTAGGATTTGAAAACACTGTTGGCCAGAGTATATACACTGTACATATTTTTTTGTTAAATGTTACACAAACATAATTTATCTAATGTATTGTAATGCTCAGTATTGCTGCAAATTAGAAGGCCTCCACAATAAAATTGTGGCCTCCGTACGCATATGTACGGCTCTGTAAATGATTTGGCAGTTCACACTTGGGTGTGTAATGCTGGTGAGCTGCTATGAGGGTGAAATACATTTGACTCTTATTCAGTGGACTGGCAATGTCTTCTGGAAGGCCTCTTAAAGCATTGTGCTATATTTACCAGTGAGTAAAACTTGTCTTTTATTAATCGTTTCTCACCTTTCCGGCGTCGCATTCGCATTAATTGTTCACGCTGAAGTATAATGCTCTGTTTCCCGATCCTTGTACGTAGGATTTTGCGGGCGCTAAATAGGCCATATTTGTACATGTGGAAAACTGCACTCAAGGCGTTAATTTTGCCTTTAAAAGTGACAACTCTTGTCATGCGAAAGGGTTGATTGTCGTGGCATGCATCCCCTTGCAATTCAGACTGCAGCATGGAGTGCGCAGTTTGCAAAGAAGACTACAGCGTAGGCGAGAGTGTGCGTCAACTCCCCTGCCTTCACCTCTTCCACAGCAACTGCATCGTGCCTTGGCTGGAAATGGTGAGAATGTTTGACTAAGCTATAAACTATAAAAAAACAATAATTTCACAAGGTATGACCCACTGAGCTACTTGGCTTTTTTTCAGAAGTGACCTGTCACAAATGAGAGCTCAACGAAGTGGCTTATTACTTGGGAATTTATAGCTGCCCAATTATCGAAACGTACGTTTGTAAATGTGGAGGGAACAAACCAGAGGACCCGGAGGAAAATCTACGCGACCACGGGGAGAACATGCAAACTCCAAATATACAACAACAAGTGTCAGAGTCGGGATCGAGCCCACGACCGTCTGTATACCAGGCGAGGTTGTTAACATTTCGCCACCGTTTCGCCAAAGAGCGTCTGCTCATTCTGGTGAGCAGCGCTCACCCGTACCCATTACGGTGTTCGCGCATCAATTTGTGTGATCATGGCTTGAGGGCAAATAGGTTCCTCCTTGTAAGATGAGATTCGTGTGTTTTGTTTTTAATAGTTAATTTAAACATAAATTTGTAATTGTATGTGTTACCGTTTGCTATCTCACTGTCTAGTAGAGCTTAGTATTAAGACACTGTACATCTAAATGATTCTTGCTATTGATATGTTCACATGCCTCCCACGAGTGCTGCTTCTCCACACTTTTGTTAGAGGAAGGTCACGGGGATGACATTGCCTTGCTGGCGGGAGACAGGCAACGAGGTTGGATTGGCTGAGCACCTCGTGTAAAAATCGACCCACGTTGGATGCTTCCATAGGCTGGCTGACAAATATCTCATCGGATATTATTTAAATCCCACTGGTATTGTGTATTATTACGTATTGTATCTCATTACACTTTATCTATTCCCTGGCTTGTAAATAAGAATTACACTTCTGACTATTTGCCTTAAAATGGCTTGTGTGTTTACAGCCATATTATAGTTGAAGACTGGCCAAAGTTTCAAAGTCACAGTTGAGTTTTTAATCTTTTTGATGGCTCAGCTGGGTGAGCAGCGTTGCAGCTTTCCAGCATCATCGGCTCGACAAGCTTTTGCGCCGTCTGTGTTTTGAGACTGAGCTATGCAGTAATTCCCCTAATGGAATTGCGTACGCAACCATGTATGAAATGCAATTTGTCAGTGATTTCATACACGTCTTTTAGAGGGTGTTATAATGTTAATTAATTATTTTAAAATACTGAGCTCAGACAGCTCTTTACTCTATCGTTTTTCGTGCTCACCACTCATTCATTTTGCACTTCTCAACTATTTGATTATTGCAGCTGCCTTCTGAAAGGAATTAACACAGCTCTACTGTGAAGTGGCTATTGAAAAAACTTGTAACATTGCCGCAAGAGTAATTGATTTGATGTCCTTGTCAGCTCAAATTCAAAGCGTGCAAGTTACCCATCACAAAAGAGTCATTTTGTATTTATTTCCAAGCACGGATGCCTGTGATTCATTTAAGTCAATGGCCTGTCACCTGGTTAAGTGATATTTAATATTCTGTTGCTTGAGTAATTAAAGACCATCAATTAAGTGAACTGACATGAACAATTTTGGCTGAAAATGCATGTGTGTGGTGTCTTGCCCAGCATGACAGCTGCCCCGTGTGCAGGAAAGGCTTGACCTCTGAACTGGACAGCACCGACAGCAGCCAGGTGTGACCCCTTCCCTCCGCCTCGTCAGTCGCTTCTACGACCAGCTCTTGCTCTGGCACCACACTCTGCCCTCAAATCCTGGGGTCAAACGCTCTGCCACCCTCAAAAGCTGGGGCCAGCAGGAGGACAGTAGGGACCCGCAGCGCCGCCAACGCACCGACGGCCGACGGGAAGCGAGCCCCTGCTGTTGAGTGTTTGGTGCCATTGCATGTTTTGGCTCGCTCATCATAATGCCGTCGTGACTCGTCACCAAAGGTGCTAGATCTGGCCTGTGGTTCCTTTTGCTTCCCATGTCGCCGCTACATTTCCCGTTGCGGCCTGCGATGAACTGATGAAGGGAAGGTGTGTTGCAAGGGTTATCAGGCTGAAAGATGTGTTAAGTTTTGCCGCGGAGGGTTTTGTATTTGTACGTTTGTAAGACATGCAAATTACATCAATGTGTTGGAACAAGTTCTTGATATAAACTGCGGTAGCTGTTTTTTTTCACTTGTTACATTTAAGTGGTTACACGATTTTAACTGATGCATGTGTATGGTGTTGCAGAATGTTAACAGTTTCCATTGATACTCAAGGGAAAGTTCAAGAATATTAATACAACATGGTACAGCGATAAGGACACCAAGTTTTATTTGGAAGTTGACACCATACATTTCATTTCGTGGCCTGTGAACGGTGGTCAGTGCGTGATATGCAACGGCACACATTTATATTCGCTTTTATGTGAACTCTGTAGAAATGGAAACAAAGTTAACATCTGCGTGTGTGTTTAACAGTTTGTATTTATCTCTACATCTGCTGTTGTGATGCTGTATAATGTATGTAAATGGATCCTAAATTTCCCATACCCCCTTGTGTGCACTTGGCTTGTTATCGTTTTTAGATGGAGCTTATGTAGTGTGGCAGTGGTGAGTGCTTCAGAGAAGACCATTCCTTTCCTACAAATCCAAAACGTCAGCGTTCCCTTGTGTTACTGGAGACCTACATCGGGCTGAGCACATCCAGAAACAATCCTGTGACATAGTAAACAGTGGACAGCATTTAAGCTGGTTGTCATCTGTACAAAATACATACGTTTTTTTTTTACTTTTAAATAGCGCTGTAGAGGTTGGAGGTGTCGTGCAGGCTGCGACAGCAAAGCATGTTTATTTGGGAACATTTCCCACTTTGTGGCGCACTAGGGATGGACAATTTTACTATCACAATTTTCCCTCTGATTTTCACTTTTTGGAACTGCACCAAGGAACCTTCAACTTACATTTTTTTTGTACTCCATTTTTTGGTTCGAAAGTAGAAGATCCAACCAATAAAAACAAACAGGCCTTGTAGATATGTCCCTTGAATGTGCCCCGGGTTGTCCGACACCATTGAAGCTTTGTTTAAGAAAATAAATGAAACGTTATGGTCGGGTGCAATTTATTGACATCGCTCTGGCATCAGTCCCGTTATTTTTGCAGTGATATAACAGGATGCCTGATTATAAATTTAAAGTATTTTTTTTTCTCATTAATACATTGTCCATCCAATGTTGGAGAGCACAGAACACAGCATTGGGGTGTATCTACAAGGTTTCATTTTACATTAATAGAAAACACTCAATTAGTAGTAATGTTGATGTATATATAAAGTACACACACACACACATTGCGTCGGCTGTGATAAATGCAAGTAACCGGCGATTCACAGAGAAACCTCAATCACTGCAAGTGCTTCGAGGGGGGCATCTCTCACCCCACCATGATTTGCCAACTTGTGTTTTTTTAATCTCAACTTTGCATTCAGCGTTTTCTCTCTCTCTCTCAAGATGTACTGTACATACTGTAAGGGTGTGTTGTATGTCGCCAATGTGATTTGTCTACCACCGTTGTGCAAAATCCTGTGTGAGGTTTTTTGTTGTTGTGGAGAGTGCCCGCGCGCGTTAACAGTGCTATCAGAAGGCCCCCGCTCGTATCGGTTCATTGTAAATCGTGCAATAACTGACTTCTACTGTCGTTATACCCCCCCCCCCCCTTTTGCTAGTTTTGCGTTGGTGAGATTGTTACTATGCTAAGATGTTTCGATTGAGGAACTTAATGGAAATATATCGGGGTAAGATTTTCAGCAGGTGGGCGCAGTTCCGTCTTGTCACTCGAATCGATTTTATGTTATTCTTTTACAGCAGCATTTAACTAAAAGTGCACGAAATACGCCGTAAAAATGTGCCGTGTTGGAAAGTGCCAGGGTATTGCTTTCTCCCGGGGAGATTCGTTGCTGCTGAAAGTTAAGAGTACCCATTTCACCTGTGATGTCTCTGGAAGCTCTAAATGAGCGTCGTGGTCAATATAAGGAGCAAAATTAATGATAAACAAATTGGACTGTTGGCCCTTTAGCCATTGAGCCATCAGTGTTTAACCTTTTCATCACCAAATACACCGTGATCTTACATTTATCTTTTTCTGTGTCGGTATAATTTCCCAACAGTGTTCACCGATTAGGAAAAAAAATTACTCGTGCAGCTATTTACATGTTGCACAAGCTGGAAGAAATCTTTTACCTCTCGTCATGAACTAATGATCCCGTTTTAAACTTGGTAAATGTATGGTCATGAGCTAAAGTTGTGGATCCTTTTACACTGAATAAAGGTCATTGCCTGAAACACTTAATTTCTAGTTGGTGGTGAAAGTTCATGACGGTGGTGAACATTTTCCCCAGCCGTTGCTCTTACACTCCTGCCGTCCAAGAAATTATACTTCAAATTGTAAGGTAGTGCTGTATTGTGGTGTACCTTATTTTGAAATGTTGCACACATGAGAGTTGGGTTACGAGTATTTATTGTGACACCGTACCCACTTGAGACAATACAAGTCAAAGGCTTTAATACAAAGTTAAGCATTAAAAAAAAACTATATTTACAGTCGAATATGTACATACATTGCACACAACATTTAATAGTAATTTTTAGCGGACGTGCACATTTCTGGAAGATTGTTTTGTAATATTGGTAACCCGCTGTAAAGTCTGTAACACCATTAATTTGTTGTAAACTGTTATACAAAAAGCGTAAAAAATAAAAACTAGAATATCACATACAAAATAAATACATTTATCCTTTACTTTTATTACACTTTATAATTTTTCATAAGCACAAGCGAATCTGCTTTACACTTGAAATTTAAACATTGGTAATAGGGTGCATTCTGTTTAAAAGTACCAAACATTGCATTTATATTAAAGCTATCGTGTAGAGTTATGTTTTAACTGTTTAATGACGAAATGGTGATTGTAATAGCTAAATTGGAATTTTTGTTGCACAAACGGATTAGATATTTTATTTAATATTTTACATGAAGTATTCCATTTTTGTTTCTATATTTCAGAAAGTTACGTGACTCGAATTGAGCACGGACAATATCGAATAAATATATCCGCTATAAAGTGAATGCCTAAACCACACAACGTGATTTATAGACGAAGAGCATTGCGGATATTTTTTTTGTTTAACCTCAAAGCTGGCATTGTCTGTTCCCAGACTCGGTAAAGAAGGATTATTGTACGATGTTGAAAATACTGATTATTATCCAGATGGCTTCATAGACTGCAATTCATCAGACAAGCACTTTGGCAGAAGCCTCTATTCTGGGCAAAAGTTCTGATTGCGGCAGCTTCGTCGTGCGGTCGTGAAGACTTCGTTTCGTGTGGCCGGCCCTCTGGCCTCTGAAGTTGCTCGTGCCTCATCAGTTCACTTGTCACGGTGGGTTAAATTAATATCGCCTCCGCCCTCCTTTTCCCCAATATCCAGTTGGTCGCTTTTAGACGCCGCTACAGTTGACTCGCAGAGTCGTGCCTTCTCAAAATGTGCGTGCAGCTGTACTGCAATGATTGAATATCCTAAACGTGTAATGGCTCTGCGCCTATTCCATAAAGCCTGCTTGAAATGTTTTACTTTGTGTGATCCAATAAGCCTTTACGGGCTTGCCTTAAGTCGCAGTTGCAACGTGTGGCTGAAAGAATGTCTGCCGGTGGTATCTGATGGCCCATTTATTTAAGCACTCTGGATCGTGTTTGACGTTGCAAGTTTAATTCATAATACGACATCTGTTGATGTTTAATTCCTTATTGCATCATGCATTGGACGGTGGTCCAAAATTGTTAGGAGTGTTGTGTCCGGACGATTGCAGGCAAACCACATCCAATTGCCTCGGTGCCCCTGTGCAGCTGGTATTGCATCAACGATGCTATTACTGTTGCCTGGATCTTCACGGTTGGAAATTCCTATCCTGGAGTAAGCTTTCACTTTTGTGCTTGATATTAACACCAACCATTAATGTTTTGTAATTGCCTGCCGAAACCATTGATTGTAATACTTTGCTCACTGTAGCGTGTGTGTGCGCGCCTGGATTGTCAACTCGTGCTATAATGGAATTGATTTAACAGGTATGCCACATTCTCGTAGTTTGGTTATCTCAGCACTTTGCATTACAACGATATTGCACTCGGCGTTGTTACATAGTTTAGTTTATAAACAGTTTTGATGTGAAGAGGCCTACGAAAAATTGCAATAACGCCCAAGTGGCCAGGACTGCTTTGGCGGCAATCAACCTATTTGTGCTTGGTTCCTAATAAGTCATAACTATTTTCCACAAACATCCTTTGGGCTAGGTCAGTAGACTTAACCTGATTTGAGTAATTTGAATATATGGCAGCTGGTGCAAACATTTTAAACATGTATGAGCTCAAGCTAATTTTTGATTAAATGTCGGTAAAACAAAGCAGTTGAAGAACACGTGGGGTTAAATTTCGATTTAAAGCTTTCGTGACTGCAGGGATTCATCTTCTTGGTTCTTTCGGTAAAGTCACGTAAAAGGGAAATTATAAAAATAAAACAAAATAATTCTCACTACGTTTCGGCCACAACGCAGGACGGCTGCTTGCGTTGTGGCCGAAACGTCGTGAGAATTATTTTATTATGTTTTATTATTATATTATTTCCCTTTTACGTGATTTTACCGAAAGAACCAAGAAGATGAACACGTGGGGTGTTGTGTCCGAGTGGACGGCGGCGACCGTGTACCGTTTGCACCTCCTGCCCAGCTCGCGGGAGACCACCAGGAAAGTTTCGTGACCGCACTGCACATTGGATCTCATTTCTGGAGTCTCGTAAACTGAATGCCTTCATCCTGATGCTCAGAGCTGGCATGCGCTTTGGAAAAAAAAATATGTGAAAGTAGAGGAAACAAAAATTTATATAGTCTATATTTTAAAATCATCTAGTCTTAGAAAAGCTCACTTCTCTCTTTGTAATATACAACACTATACAGAGATGGACCCTTTGCCGTGGTGGGATAGCTTCAGGTGAAAGTCAGGCAGCCCAGCTGCTATAATCTTTTCTCTCTCCCACCCCTATGGTGTTGTGTGTTTGTGCGGCATATACAATTTAACCACTGTAACCAGGTGACTAGTTTTGGTCGTTCTGTCAATCAAGCATCAGGCATGGGTCCAAGCTGGTTTGTGCTTTAGTATTCCCAAGCACACAACTCGTAGCATGCAGTCGGCGGTGTAAGTCATGCATGCATGGTTTTTAGCAGTGGGATTTTACTTCACTTGGATGTGTGCATAGCATGGCGGGGGGGGGGGGGGTATGCCAAACTTTAAAAGTGGCCCCTTTTTGTCTTGTGGAAGCTGGCGTGCCACTGGTTATAATTGACCAATCAAAGAGCTCGGTTTTTACTGCGGAGCCACACACGGGCGTGTGTCGTGCAACGGCGTCCTGCGCCGCCTGCCCTGATGAATTGACGACATCCTCGACTACACACCCAACCCCCACCCACCTCTCGTCGCCCTCATTTCCCCAACCACATTTTCTCCACCCGTTGCTCCCCACCCCAAGGTGATTCGGAAGAGGACGAAGAAAATGGAGCGACGAGCGGACTGTTCGGCTGGGGTCATCAATCAACCCTGCACGAGGTTCTCGCGGCCATCCTTGTCATTGTCGCGTATGAGCTGCAGGTAGTGACGGCGGAAGAAGCCCATCTGTAGGGGGGGGGGGCAGGGGGAAACGGAGCTTTTACATTTCCATTGCAATGTTTTTTTTTCTGGAGGGGAAATCGGGGTCCTGTGAATATACTGGACTTTTACTGGTAGGAACGAAGTGAACCAGCCTACAATAGATTATATCGTCCGTCCGTCCGATTAGGTGTAGCAACATCGCCCCCTACTGCAAACACTTGGCAGGACCCTACAAAAACCTTTAGACTCAGGATTTCCTGGCTAAACAAGTGTAACATTCCCTTATAATTCCCTGAGATAGTTTTTAATTAAAACATTTAAATAAAACATTAACTCACAGCGGCCTAAAGCCTACAGCTAGGCCTAAAGCCTAGAACTAAGCCTCAAACTCTCCCTTCGTATCGTACCCCCGCCATTTCATTTTATTATAGCCATTCATTTGTTCGTTCCTACCAGCCCACCCCGCAGTGACCTGTTATAAGATCTCTTTCCGGAATCTTGGGGTACCGCTTATGATGACGGCCTGCTGCAGGAAACTAAAACTAGGCTTGCTACTTGCATGCAACTTTGGCACGTGGCTCACTTCCCTTTGGTTAACCCTGAGGGGCAATTGCTGCTTCCCAGTAAACACAACGTTGGGCTAACGGCGTATGGATGGACCAACGTTATCGCGCTCGACTCTTGTAATAATGCTTTCCGTCCATTCTTTCACCCCAGGGGTTTGCCCGTGATGACTGTCCCCAGGTCAGCATGGACGTGGTTCTGGTCTTGAAGTTGTGAGTGTCGCCTCACCTTCCACAGCATGTATATGAGCAGTGCGAGGAGCAGCAGGCCACCCAGGACGCTGCCGATGATGATCCACAGCGGCACGGAGGAGCCACGCTCCTTGGTGATCTCCATCACGATCTAGGGTGGGGTTCAGAGTTCAGACACGAAGGTTTATAACAATAGGTTTGACCCTTTCTGCCAATAAAACAGGTGTTGTCAAGATGCTAAAACACCAAACAGAATCCTTAGTCAAGGAATCCTGTTTGAATTAACCACACGTACTTGTGGTGAACGTGCAAACAAAAAACATTGTCTTTGGGGCCGTCCATAAATGACGTCACGCGATTTTGGACGATTTTTGACCCCACACTCAAATATGTAACACGGCGTCACAAAGTCAGACCCCCCCCTCAAATATGACGTCACAAAGCTCTGTCCCCCCTCCAAAACCATATTTCCATTTTGAAAATAAAACATGCTTCAAATCGCTTTAAACTATTGTCATTGTAGTGCGTATTTAATGTGGAGCTGCACTCTGATGTTATAGGAGTGTTCTAACAATTAGTGTTATAAGATTTCTATATTTATTTAAAGTTGCGCATTTTGATGTGACGTCACATTTCTCAACCCCCTCCCCCCCTCGTCACACATCGTGATGTATGTGCTTGAGTTAATGGCGGTGTTGGTGATGGCCTCGTCAGGATGAGAGGATGTTGGCAATTAGTGTATTTTCCCTCTTCCAGGGTCTGCATCTGTGACTTACATATCTCCACCGGCTGTCCTCCTTCATGAGGATGAGCTGAGACCGGTTTAATTGCAGCTCCGCAGTTGTGTTGAGTTTCAAGCTCTTGAATTTCATCTGCGGAAATTAGCAATAAAAATTACAGTAAAAATGTGAATTTACTACTCTTGAGAAAGTCATCTTGCATCTGTTATATGTGTAAAAACCATTACCTTGCAAGGCGGTGGGTAACAATTCCTTGCTTGGATAATATCGACGATAACTGTTTATGAGCGGGGTCTCGTACCTCATTTAAATTGTATAAAAATATGTTCCTGTCGTTTGTTAATCTACTGCCAGATGAAGGCCTTCGCATGCCGTGTCAATTGTGTGCGTTCTTTGACCATACTTCACCATGCTGGTCAGTGGGTTGGTGAAGGAGGGGCAGGAAAGGGTCCAAATATCGCTCGCCACCGATGTTGGCCGTGGCCAGGAATTCAGATGAGGTCACCGGGATCGGAGCGCAGTGAGCTAACCACTGCACTGTTTTATATCTTACTAAAAATAATTGTTAAATTAAATTTTTGTAATGTTACGTGTAAATTTAAGTCTTTTTATCTACATTTATATATTCGTATGGTTGGTTTTCATCGTTTGTTGCCTATACTGCATTGCTTTCATGACCCAGGGCTCTCCTAGTTTGACAATGCAATGCAAATTTACGTACGATTTCTGTTGCGTCTAAATGCGACTGTAACTCCAAAAACAATACAGAAACAGTGGGAATATTTAACGTAGGCAGAATAGTAAACAAAGGTCTGAACTTTGAACTGGTACAGGCAGCTGATGGCACGGAGGGCTTGGAGAAAGGAGTTCCAGAATGTGTGGGTAGCAGAGAAAAAAAGAGCAACCTCCCACCTAGCCAAGGTTGACTAGGGGACTTTCATGAGAATGAGTTTTAGGACACCCTTTATGCTGGGGCATCACAGAGCGCTTTACATGCAATAAAAGCCTTTTAAACATTTTAAAGTGCACCCCCAGTGGCAGCTGTCCCTTTAGGAAAAAAAGTAACTCGGCACCTGGCCTGAAATAGGGCACGAGTCTGCCATTGGAGGGCATTGGTTGCCGGAGCGAAGAGTGTGTGGAGATGAGATTAGAGAGATAAGAGTGGAAGAGGTGGATAGGTGCGAGCCCAATGAGGATCTTGAAGACGGAGAATGAAATCCTAAAACTGATTCGGGATTTGGTTTGGCCAGTGGCACGGACCGAGCATTGGGGCGATGTGGTCTCACTTTCGTGTACGGATGAGCGATCTGGCAGCCACAGTGTTGAACAAAGGTATCGATTGAGTGACTTGGCGAGTGCATCTGTAGACCGTGTTCTCACCACGGTGAGTGACGGTGTCCACAGCCAACCCTTGACGTGGATCAGCTCCTCCTGGCCGACCTCCAGCGTCTCCACCACGCACGCCACCCTGTGGCAGCGACCCGTCGCGCAGTTCTGTCGGCCGAGAAGACATGCGACTCGCTCTGAAACTTCACCTGGATGCTTCACCGGGCAGGCTTAGGAAGTCACGAGTGGCTGACGAGCCCCACTTCTATCCATCTGCTGCCGCCGCCGCCGCCTCCTGTGTTAGCAATGTTTTGTTACTGGATGTGTAAAATAACTTCTTTGTTTAACTAGAGCAATCTCACTGAGCCTCGAGGGTAATTTCTTTCAAGAGGATCCTGGTTTGGATGCTTGGCCAGTTTTGAGCAAAAACATTTTTTAGCATCTGGGAGGAAAGAAACCGGAGTGGTTGGTGGTAAACCCATGCGTAAAGCCCTGCGTAATACATATCGGCTCATTATTGCCCCCGACAGCTGTGAGTTCCGTGCACATGGCTCAGAAAAGCCCCTCTCTTCACGCCGCAGCCTTGCAGGTGCCTCGCCCGTGCCGCGTGCCCACGTACCAGCTCGTCCATCGCCCTCAGGTCCTCCTCGTAGACTGACAGCGTCGCCTCCCTCTTGATCAGCTGCTGCCAGTCGGTCTCGGGACTCGTGCGGCACGTCACGCCGACATCCTGGCACCCCACACACGCGGCGCACGTGCAGCCGGTGAATGTCGTGCGGTGGCCTGCATTATTGCGGCCGATGTTCCCAATCAATCAGCAGTCATCTCTCTCAACTCGGATTGAAAGCGTTTGTAGTAATACTTGAATTTTATATCGCGTCGTTAATGCTGACAGCGTGCCCTATCGCTGTTCTAATATATAAGGGCCAAATCCCATATACAGCCACTACTAATAAAATGAAAGCCCTACTACTACCAGCAAAATAATACATTAATAAACAAATTAAGACGATGTGATATGAACGAGCCTGTAGTATAAATTCGTTACTATTTGGAACTTAACCTATTGAAGTACTTGTGGAGATGAGGGTTGGAAAATGTTCCATGCATATACATTGTCTTGTTTTGTTTTATCGCAGTTGCTGTGCATTATAAATTATGAGCAATTTAAAAGCATTGTCACGTATGATTATAGATTGACACCAAAGGGACAACTGCGGAGACTGTTGGTTGAAGACATAACGTCTAGAAATATATAAAATAACTAAAGATATAATTCACGTGTTGATGAACATTTTTTGTCTACGACAGAGGATGGGCCACATTGGTGGAGCATCGTAGCATCTTGCCTTTTTCACCAAACGTCTGAAACGTAACTTCATTTTTTCGGCCAGAAGACACATCTGCGTTTCTCCGCACGTCCGCGTGTGTGCAGGAACCTGTGTGCGTCGTGCTCCTCGTGGCGCTCGCTCACCGTCTCGACGTGAGACAGCGTGAGCAGGGGGTTTCCACCCGGCGTGATTGCCGGCACGGAGATGAGCACCTCCAGCCGAGCGAGCGGGAACAACCCGAGGTTTTGCACCTGCACGAATACCCCGGCACAAGCCGCGATATTTAGCGTCGACGGCAATCGTTTTTCGGAATTGTCGGAATATATTGCAAGGGATGGCGCACGCACGGGGACAATCATTGTTGTGCTTCAGTGCTCGCACATGCATGCTCCCCCTGCCTTCGCGAGCAGCCACTCACCAGCGTAGTGAAGTATGGTTAAATACCCACCACCCGCACGGCATGTGCAGGGTCACAATAAAGCAGTGGGTTCACTGGCAATTCTTGCTGCATCAATTTCCATTGTAAAATTCATATTCAAAGAACCAACTACGTGACTTTACCGAAAGACCCAAAGAATGTGAATTCCTGCAGTCACAAAAGCTTTAAGTCAAGATTTTTGTCCATTGTAAAAGTTGAAGAAATCTAATTTCTGTTCCTCCGAGTGGGCAACTGGGATGGCAATTTCTAATTAAATCACAGACACAGGTCCCATGACTACCCGAGGTTGTGTGCTCTGCAGACCAATCATTATTCATGAATCATACTTTTCAACACACTGTTGTCATTGGTTCTGCAGAATTCCTTTACTCTGTGCCATCGCCTTGTAAGCCAATGGGTGCCCGACTGTAACGGGCACAAAACGGCCACACATTTTGTGGGACCCAGAAAATTGAGGGCAACAGAGCATCAAGAATACAATATTAGACAAGGGTCGGTTTTACCACATTCACATTAAAGAATATATTCGCCCATTCGCCTATGAACCCTCTGGATCATTGCGCCGGAAAACAATTTGGAAACGTTAAAACATCGGTCCAGAATACCCGCAGGCCGGAGGAAAATTATCAGTGATAAAACGGCGTCTTGTCTATGGATGTATCATTTTATAACCACATTTTCTGAATGACTGCACAATGTTTAGTGAGAGCAGCCTGCCTCTGTCACATTGCCACAGGTCAGCAGGGGAGTCCGGTGTGTTCAATGCAACAACAACAAAAAGTCGTTATTTATCTCACGCGCTTTCACCATATCACAAAATAAATTTCAATATCTCATCAAACTCAGAACCGTTTGGGGTGAAGGGGTTAAGGTTGGCCGACCCTCAGGCGTTCAAGATTAAAACCGCTGCGCGGTGGGACCACTGAAGATTCAGGTGACTTCCAGCTCAAGCGTTCTGAGAACTTCAGGAGGTCACGATCGAGGCGCTGCGAGCGAAGGGAGGGAGCGATGGCGCTTGGGTCGCGGACTCTACGGTTGGGTGGACCGCAGTCGGGGGTGAGAAAACGCCGGTGTAAAAATAAGCTCTCTGCGATTTTGAAGCGGCAGGGAGGGAGGGAAGCGAGCGCTTGGAGAAGCATCGTAAGGGAGAGAGCAGGAAAACGCACGTGTGTGCGTGTGCAGCCACTCCTTGAAACGCGACTCCCCTAAACGAGCTCAGCAGGCAGTGACGCGGCTGGCTGGCCACGCGGACTCACGGATGCTGTGGGGAGTATTTTTCTCCGCGCGGTTCTCAGGAGCTACCCAGCCGCACATCTGCGCGTCCCGTCTTCCAAAGGTGCCTCAGGGTGGTTCACTTTGCGTGCAGGATTAAATAGAACAAGCTTCCTGCTGTGCAACCCCATATCTGGTGCAGATTATGCGCTTTGACCACGTGTAAATCACATTTAAAACATCTTCATCTCTAGCAAAAATTTGAATGGGGGTTGTGTGATTTATTCTATAGAGCTGTCATCAGGCCTGGCCAAAGGTGGTGGTGGGGTGGGGGGTGTAGGAAGGCTTGGGCAAAAAGGGCAATTTGCCTGTCAGTCTGTAATTATTGATTACTGCGAGAACATGTTATCTCATTTACTTCTCACCATTTACCCGTTTTCAATCTGAATTTGTGCCCTGGCACGGAAAATCTGGTTTTGTATTTTGAAGATGATAAATCGATGGCCAAGGATTGCAAGTTACTTATTACGAAAAATGAAGAACTTTTCAAGCCCTTCGCATTGAAGTTACTTGAACGCCGCTTCTGACTCCTGTCGCTTTCGGTGTTTTGGTAAATAAATCACGACCCTAGGTGAGTGCTTTACCTCATGGAGTAACCGAATACCCCTGCCATTAGATTCCTGTTGCGTTCGTTCCCACTTGCCCGGAGAAATCGCAACCGCTTTTGTAATTGCAAAGTGAACACTTGCAGCCCTGGAATCCAGACTCTGTACCGCAGGAGTGCATGTGTGGGGGTCTGTGGTGTATTAGGTGGGGAGCGGTAGTGTAGCGGTTAGCGCGCCGTACTACGAACCGGGAAACCCGAGATCGATTCCCGCTCGTGGCCAACACCAGTGACGATTATCCGAACCGGTCCTGGGCCTCCCCTAGGTCGACTCAGACTCAAATGAGTACCTGGTGCGGTGTGTAAACATTGCCACTAGGGAGACAAAGGCGGCCGGGCGTGGTGCTGGCCACCCAACCCCCTCGTGTACCGTTCCGGCCTTCATAGGTGTTCGCTAACAGCACTTGCCCCTAGAGTCTGTTAAGGCTATACGGGGGATCTTTGATCTTTGGTGTATCAGGTGGGGAGCGGTCGTGTAGCGGTTAGCGCGCCGCACTACGGACCGGGAAACCCGAGTTCGATTCCCGCTCGTGGCCAACACCAGTGACGATTATCCGAACCGGTCCTGGGCCTCCTCTAGGGCGACTCCCCTCAACCGAGTACCTGGGGCAGTGCGCAAACACCGACACCTCGTGTGCCGTTCCGGCCTTCATAGTTTCTCGCTAACAGCACTTGCCCCTGTAGTCGGTTAAAGCTAAATGGGGGGATCTTTGTTGTGTGTGTGCTGGAAGACTCCTGACCGTCAGCGTGTAGTTGAACTGTGGCCCAATTTCCTCTGGTCTCTCGATAACGTCCGGCACCATCGCCTCTCGGCTCACCTCAAACTGGTGAAGGTTCGAGTCCCTGTCACGGAGACACAACATTTTGTCATGAACAAGGGACATCACCCGGAACGTTGCCTACAATATTTTATTGACGAGCGTTATTTGTGTGTTCGTTTTATGCTCCAGTTTGCCTGACCTGGTGAAGAGGATCTCGGCCTCGTATCTCACGGGGATGGACAACGAGGCGGCGTTGTCATGCAGCGTCTCCAGCATCTCCTTGCTGTCACTGTGTGAAGCGAAGACAAAACATGAATGCAGGACCCCGTGAGCACGACAGAGACAATTAGATTAGCGGTGCCACGATGCACCGGTGTCATCCATTAATGCTGATTCTCTAAACTCATGATCCATGCACCATTGATGTGACCCCTGCACAATATTTCGAATAATTGGTTCCTCAAAGGAATCGTAATCCTAAATGGTGACGATTAATCGATTCGCCGGGGTGCATGAATGATACCCCTTAAAAAATAACAATCAAACAATGATGTCTATATGTATATACATTCATAGACTGTGTGCCGTCAATGAATAAGCTATCCCACGGGGGAACATCGGCTTTCTTTGAAACCAAGTAGGCACGCAACGGTTCATTCAAAAGTATTCAACTGAAAGGTGATTTCTACTCGCATACGCACGTATCCTCTTGTGGTGGTGGAATGAGGTTCGGTTTATCAATATGCTTTATAAATACAAATTGTATACTGTACTGTAATTAAAAAAGCTGACTGGGACTCAGACCCAGCATCTCACAGGTTGCTAGCTCAGGCATTGTAGCCACCTGAGCCACCCAGCCATTTATGAGGAATTTCATGTTCAGCATTGTTCCGCAGGGTTGTATGCATGTTAAACTTCTTTCGCGCCGTACGGAGCCAACCGTGCTAATCGGTGGTGCAAGGACAACGAACTGAACACACAAAGCAGTTGTAAAGAAACGAGTTTTTGTTTCATACTCTTTGGTTTTTTCGGTAAAGTCACGTAGGTAAAAAAAAAAACAATTAAATCACGACGTTTCGGAGGCAACACAGGCTTCTTCAGGTGGAACCGTTACAGCCAAATTCACTGTAATAAGTGATGATAAGTGACGAAAACTTCAAATCTAGAATTAAGAGTTTTTGTTTGTGTTTTACTGCAGTCAAGGACGGCCTGTAGCGTGGCGAAAATGGAAAGGTGCAGCCATGCACGCATCTGGCTCACATTAAACACTTGCCAGCATCACGATGTAGGGCCTATGCAATTAGTGGTAATGTTTTGGGCTCCTAGCCAAGGCAGCACGGCTCCAGAACCATGACTTCTACTCTGCTTCCTGCTTGCATTCTCCCGCCAGCCCTGCGCCCCTACCCAGATAACAAATGCTATTCGTATTCACAAAGTCTCCAAATGTGATCACATCTCAAGACGGCTGCACAGATGGGCAAGATATTGGCATTTAGAGAGCCTGGGATAGAGTTGAGATGTCGTGATGGTAGAAGTGCGAATGGAGACATTTTGGAGAGAGAGAGGGAAAGTTTTAAGTCTGGACTTGAACAGGGGCAGGGTCTCAGCAGTTCGGCCAGGGGAAGAGAATTCCAGACAAGGGGGCAGCAACAGAGAAAAGTGGTATTTCCCCAATCGCAGCTCCGATCGATTTATCTTTAAAATTACCACCGGGAGTTGCAAATCGAATGGGGTGGGGCTGACACGCACACCACGAAGAGGGCTCTGAGTCTCGGCTGCTGCGCCAATGCTTGAGGGTCACAGAGGATTCATCTTCTTGGTTCTTTCGGTAAAGTCACGTAGAAGGGAAGTAATAAAATAATAAAAATAAAACATAATAAAATAATTCTCACGACGTTTCGGCCACAACGCAAGCAGCCGTCCTCAGGTGAGCAGCCGTCCTCTTCACCTGAGGACGGCTGCTTGCGTTGTGGCCGAAACGTCGTGAGAATTATGTTATTATGTTTTATTATTTTATTACTTCCCTTCTACGTGACTTTACCGAAAGAACCAAGAAGATGAATCCCTGCCATCACGGAAAGCTTTAAATCGAAAGGCCACAGCGGAGTTAGCTATCGAGTGTTTAGGCGGTGCAACTCCTCCGGACTCCGCGGACAGGAGCTGGGAGGGGGGGGTGCGTCCAGACTCCAGGCTATCAAGTCCAAGTTAATTGGACAGGGCCGCCATATCATTCCTTGCACCGGGACAAATGGCAACGACACTCCGCCACTGGAGTGCCGTCTCGATTATTATTTTTTTGAAATCGCAATTGTTGTTACCACTGGTGCCCCACAGCCTCACCTCTCGGCTCGCAGGCCGATGTCCAGGCTCGGCAAGAAGACGGAGCGGCTGAACTCGAACTCCAGAAGCGTGACCAGCTGGGTGCCGGCCAGCGAGGCGAGCAGCGAGCGGGGAGGGCAAGAGCGTACCAAGTCAAACAGCGTTCGGGATTATTACAGCGTGGGGAAAACTGCGTATTTGTTAAAGTACCAGCAATGCTAACAGCAAAGTGAGCAAAACCAGAATATATATAATTCCGAATATTAGAACCAGATATCTTGGCTTTAGCTATGGGTCTCTTCAGCGGAATGCACACATGCAGTGTAAGTGTTGAGATGTGTATTGTATGTGTGTTTTGGATAACAGGGGGAGAGTGGTGGCATAGTGGTTTGTTGCACTGCGCTGTGAACTCGGCAACCAGAGTTCGATTCCCGGCCATGCTTAACATTGGTTGTGGGTGATATCTCATTCAATCCTGGGCTCTCCTTGCACCAAACAACACTGACCAGCGTGGTGAAGTATGACTGATACGGCATGTCCTTAATCCAGCAGTGGGTAGAAAAAGGGCTGTAAATTCTAAATACGTATTTCCTTGCGTGTATATATACAGTCAGTACAAGCAGGTACGAGCCAATCACAGGATGAATCCTTTAATGATCGACATTTCAGAAACTTATCCCCTTGTTGAAATGGAAAAAAAAACGTTTACACATTTAAAAAAACTTAATAGGATTAGCATGGTGAACATTTTTATTTTATTTTCAGCATGCAATTTTTTTATGTAGGCTAAAGATCACAATTCTCACATAGGCCGTATTCAATCCAATAGACTGCTGGTTCCCTCTGCTCAGACTTGACTGTGTATACTTGCAATTACTCGAGTGTGTGCTGTGACTAACTGACTCGCAGATGGACAAATTATGTTTCCTATAATGGCCATGTATGTGTGTGTGTGTTAGCCTGACCCCCTCCTGTAGGGCATCGAAAACCCCCTTAAACGCCACAAACTCTTTATGACCCCTCCCAACTGCCGTCTGACCCCAATCCTGACCTTTGCTCCTGGGCGGAATACGGCCGGGCTCAGGGAGCACGTGGTGCCTCCATCGGCCTCCTCGTGCGAGAATTGGCACTCCATCTTCAGACCTTGGTCCACCTGTCCGTACCCCATCATGAGACGGAGTAAGTGGGGCATAGTACAGACCGATGTCACACACCACATACCTCTCTCATACCTCGAGGTCAACTCGGCCTCAAGGTTGAAACACCATTGCTGGGAAAATGTTCAGGCGAGACATTGTAATACACATTCGCTTTGTGTGCCACGTTGGCATGAACAGGTGCTTATTAACACAACTTGCCCCAACAATCTAAGATTATAGAATCTCCCTCTGGCCAGCCATCCAAGCTGTTGGCTCCTTCCAATGTTCAAATCTAGGTTCAAAGACCTCTCTATGTATATTGATATATATTTAAGTCGACATAGATGCGAATTCTAGATTTGAAGCTTTCGTGACTGCAAGGATTCATACTCTTTGTTTTCTTTTTCTTAGACACATTTAAGCTTTCGCTACGTTGTCCCCACCTGAAGAAGGACGTTTGTGTTGCGCCCGAAACGTCGTGATTTTATTTAGTTTTCATTTATTTTATTTTTTACCTACGTGACTTTACCGAAAAAAACTAAAACATGCGTATGTCGCATATATTATCTGCGCAGCGACTTTGGGTGCGGTTAATTTTTTTTTATTCTACATGAATCCAAATTGCATCGTATCCTCGTCTCGGTTCAAGAGTGCGTGCTTGTGTCGCCCTCACGGCGGGTGTGATGCTGGCGAGACGCAGGTTCCGTGAGAAGGAGACGTTGACCCGTGCGTTGTAGGCATTCTCGCCACGGTTTTCCAGCGTCGCCCACACGGACGTGCGCCTCCTCCCACTGCGGATGACGTACGGAGCCATGCTGCGCACACGAAACGCATGCAACGCAACACGTGCGTACACACACACACCACCATACCAATAAGTGTCTGTTCTCTTGTACGGGCAGTCATCGACTTACGAACACAATTCGTTCCTGAGATCCGTTCGTAAGTCGAACGGTTTGTAAGTCATAACGCAGTAATGTACTAAAGACAAACATACTCTTAGGTTTTTTCGGTAAAGTCACGTAGGTAAAAAATAAAATTAAAATTAATAAAAGTAAAATAAAAATCACGACGTTTCGGAGGCAACACAAGCTTCCGTCTTCAGGTGGAAGCTTGTGTTGCCTCCGAAACGTCGTGATTTTTATTTTACTTTTATTAATTTTATTTTTTACCTACGTGACTTTACCGAAAAAACCTAAGAGTATGTATCCTTGCAGTCACGAAAGCTTCAAATCTAGAATTAAAGACAAACACTCACTCCCAGTGCAAGACTGACTCATTCACATCTCGCGGGGGATCGCTCAGCTTCGTAAGTGCGGGTGTTCGTACATCGGGTGACCGTAAGTCGAAGATTGTCTATTTCTGTAGTTTCGATTTGGCTGATATACATTTCTGCATGATAAGCCACTTTGTTAAGCTATCAGCGATCAGGTCGCTTCTGGAAAATAAACTGATAGCTCATTGGGGTTTACCGAGTAAAGTAAAAAAACGTTTAGTTTTGAACATGTTTTTATATGTTTACCTTTCCTATACTTTGCACTCCTATCGTGTTTTGTATTGTTTATTGTTGTAAAGTTCTGACCTGCCCCGTCTGGGCATCTGTGAAAAAGAGCTTGAAAGCTCGTCGGATACCTCCAGTCTAAATAAATATTCTGATTCTGACCGTATAGTTCCTACTGCGACTGCACTGCAGAACAAACAACGGAGCACACGGGGAACTGCTGCCCATCAAGACTGCTGAACGGTGGCACCGTAGCAATTCATCAACCTGCAATGAAACCAGTTGAATGGCCAGAGAGCCTAGACGTCAAATTGAATAATAATAATATATAATTGTATTCGTGTTCCAAAAATCAGTTGCTTATTTCTGCAACATGTCACACAAAAGAAGTATGATGCGTTCGCCCAGTCCCAGCCACAACACACCTATCATTTACACTTCATTGTCAATCATCTGCCGGATGAAGGTATTGCCATGCCGTGCCGGTGTTGAGGGTTGTTGGACCATGCTTTTCCACCATTGTCATTGTGGGTTGGTGAAGGTGGATAAGCCCAGGACCGGTTCCCATGTCACTTTCTACCGATGTTAGCCAGGGCCGGTAATTGAACTCGGGCATCTGGGAGTAACAGCACAGTGCGCTCACCACATCACCACCGCTCCACTGCTTCACCCCCTTTCCTCCTATGCCCGCCCTAATATGAGCGCTCGATAATGCCATCCTTGATTTCATCATGAGAAAAAATATTACAATGAAAGATATCCTGCACAGACGACCCCTGAGAGGGCATCTTGCTTCTGGAATGGAGTCATGAGATGAGCTCATGTGCCGGGGCAACATCGACAGTTGCTGCGCATGGCCATGGGCAATGGCGACGGCTTGAAGAGGCATTTATCGAGCAGTGGATTGATCATGGCTGACGATGAATGACGATCGATGACATGGTGATAGTGACGTTGATGGCATAAAAAAAAAACGAATGTGGTATCAGTAGACAACGGCCTTTCTTAGCATGTCCACAAAAGGAATGGGAAGACTCGCAAGGTTGGCATATCCGTTGAGGGCAACGACTGTGGAATATGGAGCAGGCGCCTCCTACCTAGACCCCTGGACGTCGGAGCGCAGGTGCAGCACGAGGTCGGACACGCACTCCTCATCGTCGCCGCAGTCGTTGGCGAAGGGAAGCTGCGGGTGAGACACGCGCCATGATTTGTACGTATGTTGTACTTCTTTCGCACCGTACATGATCGGAGGTGCGGGGAAAGGACAACGAACTTAACACAAAAATCAGTTCCAAAGAAATGAGTTTTCAGTCTTCGATTTAAAGGTGCGTGGCTCCAGTGGATTCCTAATATCGGAAGGAGAGAACGTTCCAGACGGCCGCGGAAGCGCATCTGAACGTGAGCGATACCGTCCCCGTTCGATGGCTAGCCAAAAGCTGCTGCGAGGATGACCCAAGTTCATGTGGTGGTTTACGTTCCTTGAGATCTGTAAGGTATTGCGGTTAATTTGTGTCTGGTGAAGCCCAGACAACACACAGACAAAAAAACTGTTAAAAACTATAAACTAAAACGAGGGGGGAAGGGAGGGGGGGGAGTCTTTTGGTCTGGTGGTCCCATTGTAAACGTACCTAAATCCGACCCTGAGCTCATAGTGACCTCAGTATTGTTTGAAGCGGGTCAATTGAATTAAGTGTCAAGATCTTTCTTTGCTTTCAGCAACAGTTAAACAAAACCAGTACCATTTATAATGAACTTGTTTTTTGGATTGTGGATTCCATCCATAATACAGGTTTTTTTTGTGTGTGTGTCTCTCTCTGCATGTGTGTCTCCGTGTCTGTGTTTTTTTTTCTCTCTCTCAAATTCAACAATCTTTGGAAGAACGTAATCAACCAGGTAAAGTGTTAACTCTTGTGTTAGCCGACTCTTCTGTGTTGACTTGCATTACATTTCAAAGTTTACTAGGTTTGTTCTCTCATTCATTCATACCTGATGACGGTTGCTTGTGTTGCAATCGAAACGTCGTATTATATTATTTATTTTATTTCCTTTCTACGTGACTTTACCGAAAGAACCAAAGAGTAATTCCTGCAGTCACGAAAGCTTCAAATCAGGTTTTTTTTTTGGGTTACATCGCGTAAATATAAATGTGTCGTTAAACCCGCCACCACCCGACACAGCCAATTAGTAAGGTTTAAGGTTTATCACGTAAACAGAGCGTGGCCAATTCGTTACTAGTACAGCACACCGGTGTGTTGAAGAGCAAATCCATTACACTTACAATCTTGAGTACGACGTTTCGCCAGTAATTACAACCAATCTAACCCAAAAAACCTGAGCAAGAAAACGGAGCTACAAGAGAAATTGGTCAACGTCGACCTGTGCAAGAAATTTATTTATTTATTTTTTACCTACGTGACTTTACCGAAAAAACCTAAGAGTACCAAAAAACCTGTATTATGGATCATATTGGTCGCGAAAGCCTCCGTGTTAAACTCTGGATTTTATGTCAATTAACAAGTTATTCCACTTGTTATTGACCATTTACAGTCCTGGAGTGAATAACAGTTTTTTTAAGCAAAATTTCAACATTAAAAGACAATTCTAGATTTGAAACTTTCGTGACCGCAAGGATTCATATTCTTAGTTCTTTCGGTAAAGTCACGTAGGTAAAAAAATGAATGTGACAGTTTCACCTGAAGACGGAAACTTGTGTTGCCTCCGAAACGTCGTGATTTTTTTTTATTAATTTTAATTTCATTTTTTACCTACGTGACTTTACCGGAAGAACTAAGATTATTAAAAGACAAGGTTTGGTATTAGTCAGTACTGTTTAAGGTGTTGTCTGTGCACTGCTGGAAAGTACAGAGATAAGGTTTACTGGCAGGCTGCCTGTGTAGCACTGTTCAAGTGTCCTCCCGGCTGATCGGTTTTCCTGTCACATACAAAATGCCTCGCGATTTAATGATGGTTTACCGAGTGAACGTTGCGGGTGGATTCATTCAACACGTGATATTATAAATGCAAGGGGGAAATTGTGAATTTGGTGTGAAGTGCCCATATTGTTATTCATACCAATAGTGCATTCTGGTTAGCTGTGCGGGGATAGAATCAAAACTGGGTCACTCTATCTCCACGTGCAGCTCACCCAAATATGCCGTGGGTATGAATCTGTCCAGCTGTGACAGCCTAAAGCAGAAATATGATTAACTTATCGACTGCATTAAAATGTATATTTCTTGAAGGCAGTTCCTTGGAAAGGGAGTTTTCATTGCATCTGCTTACTTTGGCTGATACATTTCACAAGAACAAATGTGTATATATATAATGCCAGAGGTTTATACACACTCGTGCATTTAGACATGTGTGAGACAAGAATGGGTTTCACTCCCCACATAGCAGGGGTAAGGATAATAGCGGAGGGGTAAAAACTAAATCCACATAACTGATAACATAAACAAACCGACGTAAAAACAATATTAAACGTACAAAGAAACACATTGTGAACTCTTAATAAATAATACACAATGTATATAAAGTGTGGTGTGTGTAGAATGAAAAGACAAAAAAGACCGTGTTGGCAGCTTGTGGCTGTGAACAGCTGAAAGTCATTAAAAATGGGAAGGAAGTCAACGTCTGGAATGCAAACATTATAAAAAAAAACATTCAAATAGTATTTAGCTGATTTGTAAACTTTGTCCCTATAATTTGACCACCAGCTTAAAGTGCCAGTCAACAAAACCACGACGGACGTCCACCGTGGAGATGGAGTGACGAAATCGCCGCGCGTGCACGCGCACGCGGGACTGTCACGTCACAGGAGCACAGCTTAAGGAAAGGCCTTCATCCAGCAGTGGATTGATCATGGCCGAGCATGCCCTTGATAGGTGTCAGCCAATGGGACAAGTGAATCTGCCAAGCTCCTTGATCATCGTTACGCTGTTCATGATGTGTTTTCGTGTTATACTACCACGCGTCGCGTTCGGTTTCTACGTCTGCACGTGCCGAGGGAGCTGTGCAAGTTCCTACAAAAGCTGCCAGCGTGTGGAGCGAAACGTCAGACGTCGTGCCGTCGTACAACATGTGGTACAACTCCAAAACGCATCAAAGGGATCATAGTCGCGGCTTAACTACCGTAGGTTCTAAAGTTTTAACAACAATATTTGTCTGTTTACAAAGTTAGTCGAAAGGTTTGATTAATGGTTTAAGGGATTGGAACCAGGGAAGGCATGTTTTTAAAAACCCCTGTTTGCTTTCTAGACAGCGCTGTGCTGTGGGTTTCACGTGTTTGTAATAAACGCGAGCGCTCGTGGCTGTTTTGGCAACGGGAAAATCGCGGGCAGCCCCCCCCCCCACAGGGCCTTTTGCAAGGGCCTCTCTGGGAATGTGAAATCGCAGCATTTTGCCATGAAAAATATATATACGTTAATGTTCCTGAAAACAATGATCATGTTTGTGATGTGTTTATGATGAGAATATCTTCAATTAAAAATGTTGCATAACTTCTTTGAATATTCAAACACATATATAACGTATTGTTAATACGAACACCGGTTGCGTTTCTTTTTTTACGTGAAACACTAAATTAATGTTTAACAGGTAGCTTATTATCGCTACGCTTGTTTACCCACGAAAGCCTCACTGCATCTCAACTATTTCTCAGGACGGTCCTGCCAAATTTTCGTAGCAGAGAGTGATGTTGGCATGTGTAATCCCAATTAAGTAATTTGGAGGTAATGTTTCAGCATTGGGATGTTTTTTCCAATATTAACTATATTGTATGTTTTTCTGCCTATGAAAGGAGACCGGAGAATCCCAATGCAGAATCCCAATGCAGAGTCGACACCGAGAGGCATTCCGAGTAAGGAATCGAACCCAGGAGATGTTTGCTGTGAGGCAGAAGTGTTACCACGTGTGCCACCCTGCCGACCAGATTATTAACATTTGTTTTTCACTTAATTTGGCTAAATCTCATCGCAGAGTGTGTGGTAAGGTGCAAACCCCACACTCAGTAAAGTAAAACAAACATCTTAATCAGCTGTGCTACACCCCATGGGGCTCACTGCTCTACGATATTTCCAGATGGATTTGTCTTGTGTCATAATGCCAATAGCGCAGTTGTAACACAAATTGGGGAAGAAACACCAACAATTGTTTTTAATAAATGTATTTTCACTTTATGAAAGAAAATAAAAAACAGTATCCATCAGCATACTTGGCCTGCTAATGTGTATTAGAAACATGAGGCCAGGGTAAATTTGCCAAACTCAACAATGTATATTGGAAAACATCGACGAGTGCTATGGTTTGAAATCAAGCACATTTTTTATTGACAAGAGAAATGATGAATTACTCATTACACTTTAAGATACGGTAATTTTGTAATATGAAATGTGGCTAAAGTTTCCATGATTGCCAAAGCAAGCCTCTGCTAAACAATGTTGATATGAGAGGTAACTCTACTGTTGATTGTGTGTATGAATTATATTCTAGTTCCTAAGTATGTTTCGGTAAAGTCACGTAGGTATTTTATACCTACGTGACTTTACCGAAAGAACCAAAGAGTATGGATTCCTGCAGTCACGAAAGCTTCAAATCAAGATTTCGAAGTATGCTTCCGCGGCTGGTAAGAGCATCCTTTGCCTCCCCAGTGTTGATGTGTGAACACCACATCAAGTTCTCATTAAGGCTGGGTTGACCTTGGGGAGGCCCAGAATTAGTTCAGATATTCACGGAATCAAACTTTGATCGCTGAGTTTGGAGCGCAGTATCGCTACTTTCAAACTCTGCAGAATGTGCGTCGGCAGAGTGCACAGGGCGAACGCACCCCAATGTGGTCTGAGTGAGTTGTTGGGGCAAAAACCCCAACAACTCACGCAGGCCACATAAGGTGGAAATCCGTTACGTTACCGGTGAGCAGAAAAAAAAGGGACCGGCATTCTTCGTCGTTTCTAAAGCAGATGGACTCGGAACCGTGGCGTCTAAAACAAAACCAGGCAGCCCGTGTTGTTATCGGCGTGCCCTGGTCAGCCATCTGGAGTCAATTCTTGTCGCACGGAATTTTTAGTCATGTCCCTTTGATTTGGATGCTCGGTGGTTTATTTTGACTCCATCTGTTTTGACACAAAAGTAAAATCATCTGAAAGGTATATGTGATGGAGAAAAAGAGCAGATCGTATCAAATCCATGTAGTTTCTGTGGAGGGCTTGTATCAATTTGTTCCATGATACAACAGGATTTTGAAAGCATGATGTCATGTTAAATTGTGATTCGTTGGGTTTTCCCTCAGGATGACAAAGTTAAAGTCTTTGACAAGATTTCCCCGCTCTGCATACAACTGGAGTGGCGACTGCTCAGCTTTATAGCAGTCAAACCAAATTTTTGTTTTCAGAGCTGGAATTTTGTCAATTAAATGAAATACCAAATTTAACATGCGTTTTTTTTAACACGTAGGCTTTCGCGACCAATATTATTCATAATATAGGTGTTTGGGTCAGATCGCGTTATTTATAAATGTGTCATAACCCTCCACCACCCGACACGGCCAAACAGTAAAAAATGTGTCACGTTTTCAAAGGACAAATTAATTGACTTCTTTAGCCCACCGGTGTGCTGAAGAGAGAATCAACACCATTTTTAAAATGCTTTTTTTTTTAATTCATTGGTGACCAGGCTGTGACTACACTTGAGAGCCCATTTCATAACGTGCGACTGACACCGAGATTCAAACCCAACAAGAATCCCAGCGGTGCCTGCTCAGTACACTGACCTCCCAGTTACCAGGCCGACTCAAAAATAATCAACTCTTGAACTGATTCACGACCCTCAATCATGACAATTTGTCAAAACACTGAGTTGGGCGCATCATTACATGATCCCTCAATGATCCCTTTTGCTGTGTTGTTTTCAATGATTTTTTGACAACCATCTCTCCGCACGCAGCATCTAAAGACAGGTTAAGTAGTCAGTTCTAAACACCGTAAAAATACGGGCCTCCCGGGGATGGATAATGGACACGCTCTATTCGAAAGGCATGTTAAACTGTAAATAAGAGCTGTATTGCTATTTTAGAACAAATATTGTCTTTTTTTCCAGTGTTAATGCCCGCGATGTTGGTGCGGTCAACATTTTACCAGCCACACATAGCCCGAAGCGATACTGAACACGGCATGTAGTAGCAGTCTTCGGCAATACAGCCTCCCTCTGAGGGGCTCCGCAATCTAAGGCCCTGATCTCGCACCAGTCTATTTTTTTACAAGTGCGATCTTAATCTTTCCACGATGTTTTTTTTCTTTTCCACGAATTCACTAAATGGCATTTGTACTTGACATGTACGAAAGATTTGCAGGGGTAATTGCAACATTAATTTAATTTGATCTTTTTTTTTACAAATGTTTGAGGGATTCACATCACTTTATGTGTGTATGTGTGTGTGCGGTGTTAGTGCAGCAGTAGTGTAGCGGTTAGCGTGCTGCGATATGAACCCAACGACCCGGGTTCGATTCCCGTTCACGGCCAATACCAGTGATGATTATCTGAACCGGTTCTGGGCCTCCCCTAGGTCGATTCAGCCTTAAATAAGTACCTTGTGCAGTGTGTAAACATCGCCACTAGGGAGACAAAGGCGGTCGGGCGTGGTGCTGGCCACCCACCCCCTCGTGTACCGTTGCGGCCTTTATAGGTGCTCGCTAACAGCACTTTCCCCTACAATCTTTTAAGGCTTTACGGGGGATCTTTGTACTGTGCTATGAACCTGGGGACCCAAGTTCGAATGCCGACAACAACTAACATCAATGCTGAGCGATATCTTAACTCGTCCTGGCCCTGCCTCCTTAACAATCTATACTCACCAGTGTGGTGAAGTATGCTCAAACCATCCCATAAATATAATGGTGTTTATCCATAATACAGGTTTTTTGGGGTTAGATCGCGTAAATATATAAATGTGTCGTTAAACCCGCCACCACCCGACACAGCCAATTAGTAAGGTTTGTCGCGTAAACAGAACGTGCCAATTCGTCACTAGTACAGCACACCGGTGTGTTGGAGAGCCAAACCACAACATTTACAAACTGAGTACGACGTTTTCGCCAGTAATTACAACTAGCTTCATCATGCGACAGTCAGATTTGTGGAGAAATCCTCCTCTTTCGTTCCTTAAATAGAGTGGTAGATGTAATGACATCACTTACAATGGTGTCTGAAGGAATTTATCCAGCAGTGGATTGACAGAAGCGATGTAAATTACTATAACGTATCCAAAGGCAGCTTATGTAGACGTTTAGTCCACGGGGTTGGTTCTCGTGATGGATTCGTCCCCACAACTCGACTAGCTTGCATGCAGCAACAGCTGAGTTTCCAAGGCTCGCCTGGCAGTTTGTTCTGGAACATCACCGCACCAGCACCGCTTGGTGTCGGGTGAATGTTAACGATCCCGTGCCAATGTCACAACCTCAATCTGAACGTTTGTAAAATTTTCACCGTCGGTGCGGCCCGGGGTTGGTGGTTGGCAGTGTTCGAGACGTCCAACTTTTTTGCGTGGTGCGTCGCGCTGTTGCTCCATATTCCCAACTCGTCTTTTTTTATTTATATATTGTTACATTTCCCTGCAATGTTTTGTTCTGTTTTGGGTTTTTATGGTTATGCTACGTGAGTTGCTATGTACAGCATCTGGAGATATTTTGTCGTTTAAAAACTACATCAATTCTAGTTATTACTACCGTTGCAGTCTTTCCCAACTAAAAATAATTGCCAAAAACGTATTAATAATAGCTGCCTCAATCCAACTAAGGCTATTTGGCTTGCGCCTGGTTTAGTAACAAGATCCTCCACGGACTCGCTCCGGCCTACCTCTCCCCTGCCTTCTCACTCTACCGACTCATCCACGCACCGTCTGCTCCAGAAATCAATTATTCATTTAGCGTGATGCTTGTGCCCGAGCCAAGCAGCATCTTCATCATTTGCGGAACGTGGTGTCCTCAGACCGTCGCTAAGCACGGTTAGCGGACACAGTTTTCAACAATTGCCTCGCTCTGTCTCACACCACAGGCACAGTTTGGGTTGCTGCATAAACCGCACCTGCTTCTGCGGCCGTCTGGAACGCTCTTTCTTCTGATATTAGGAAGTCACTGGAGATATGCACTTTAAATCTAGATTGGAAACTAATTTCTTTAGAACTGCTTTTTGTGTTTAGTTTGTTGTCCTTCTCCCGCACCTCCAATTGACTATGTATGGTGCGAAATAAGTTCTACATACATACATACATGCAGTCGTGGCTGCACGGTTAGGAATCTATTGAGCAGGGCCCAGTCAAGGCGATCAATACCACCGATCAAAGCCCCCTCAGTGAAAGGCGGCTAATTCTCTTCTGCTGTCCTCGTGGTCTGGAACTCCCCCCCCCTCCCCAGCCATCCGTGCTGTTGGGTCCTTTCCCTTGTTCAAGTCGAGGCTCAAGAGCTTCCACTTTTATTCTGACGATGACTAACTGCCTCTTTCTCTGCGCAGCATCTTGTGATGCAGTGGCATTTCGATGCTATGTAAATAAAAAATTGTACTGAATTGTGCACACAAACACTGCCGGTGCCAGGCTGACTCGTGACAACTCGCGGAAGATGGCTCAGCCGAACAAATTAGTTCCGCAGTTCAATTTTCAAGTGCGAGTTCGAGTTTTAAGGCACTGTTTAAAATAATATTTATTTCATGGAAGCTGGTACATAAGTACGGGTATTCATGAGTAGGGTGCTCGTAAGTCAAGGACTGCCTGTATATAAAAAAACATCTTCTTGGTTCTTTTGGTAAAGTCACGTAGAAGGGAAATAATAAAATAATACAAATAAAACATAATAAAATACAATGAATCCCTGCAGTCACGAAAGCTTTAAATCGAAATAAAAAAAATTCTACAACTACATCATGAGGCCTACTTTGCCAGTACCAAAATATAATAATAGGCTTTTTCCCCTTTTTTCTGGCAACAAAACTGAAACCTTTTTACAAGGAATCATGTTTACATTAACCACAATACCTGCGGTCAGGATGCAAAAAAAAACACACACTGATAATGTATGCATTGTCCATGAAATTGATTGGTCCACACCAGAGACAGCTTTCCTTAGAGCCTAGTCTTCATACGGTGTTCGACCAGATGACGCCAAAAGGCGCACAACTCAAAGACAACGCACTATCAGAGTAATGAGGGCTCGTGGTAAGCATTTACATCATGATGACTCCTTTGCCAGTACCAAAATATAATAATGAGGTGGTGTTTCGATTTAAAGCTTTTGTGACTGCAGGAATTCATCTTCTTAAAGTCACGTAGAAGGGAAAATAAAACAATAAAATACAATTCTCTCGTGAGAATTGTATTTTATTGTTTTATTTTTATTATTTTATTATTTCCCTTCTACGTGACTTTACCGAAAGAACCAAGAAAATGAGGTGGTGATGAAGCTTACCAGGGCCTCGGTGTGCATTGGCCAGTACGCGTCCAGCACAGGGTCCGAGTTGGGGTCTTGGAGGGCGAAGTCGAGCTGGAGGCTGATTGGTCGAACAAAGTCGGTCACCTCCTGGCACCGTGAGACCAGATGGTAGGTGCGATCAGAGCAGGACAATGAGGGAGGGGCACGTGTCCACATACATACACATACTCATACACGTGTGCATTTATTACGCACATGTACGCAGGCATACATGCACGCGTGCACACTCACACATGCGCGAACATTTTAGTGGTGTCATGAAATAACTTGATAATCCACATGTAGTATTACATTAACCAACGTTAGCTTCATTGGAACACATTGCACTATATTGTTGTTCTTAGACTGATTGTAATACAATTGCTAAATTAAGTTACAGAATGATTACACGCATATATATGATAGACAAGGGAGTAAGTAGTGTGTGTGGCCAACACTGTGCGTGTATGACTAACATTGCTTCCCAATTGCTGATGATTATACAATTATGTAACGCATGGCCAGGAATCAAACAGATCACTGGCTTCTACCACTCACACACTGTCACAGCATCAACCGAAGGCAAATCATAGGTCTACTTGGCCTGAAATACCAAACAAATGAGCGTTTGTCAGCCTGGTCAACCCAGCTAAAAATGTGACATTTTATTGAGAACAGATGTGTATGGCGTCATAAAACCCCTTCCAAAAAACTCAAAACAATGGATGATGCAAACTTGAAATGCGTCTTATGAAAATAGCACATGCGAACCCAGCTCTGGCAGCATTTGTTTATTTTACCAAAATCTTTCATCATTACCAAAGTCTTTACTGGCATCGTAATTGAGGAAAACATCACTTGGATTGCTGCTCACTGATGTAAGCATTTTAGGCTGCGATCTTCTTGAGCAGCGTGTGGCGCACAGGATCGCGCACGGCACCACAGACCCGGCGACCCACGTTCGATTCCTGGCTATGGATAACACCAGTGGTAATTGTTATCTGAACCAGTCCCTGGGCCTCCATTTCACCAAACCCCAATCGACAACATGGCATGGCGAGGCCTTCATCCAGAAGTGGATTGTCAAAGGTGCTGTAAATAATCTTCTTGGTTCTTTCAGTAAAGTCACGTAGAATGGAAATAATAAAATAATATAAATAAAACATAATAAAAGAATTCTCACGACGTTTCGGCCACAACGCAAGTAGCCGTCCTCAGATGGAGAACAGGTCTGTCGAGGAGACAGAGTCTGAATGACAAGCCCCAGGCTTGGAGCGACTATTTAAGCTGGGATGGAGGTGCTGTAAATCGTTGTCGTGGCTTTGCTTGAATTGAGAGCATGCGTGGCGAACCACGGTGAACTCTACTCCCATTGCACACTTAGAGCCTTTGCTGGGGGTCAGTGTAACGGGCAGTCACCGGGGACTTCACGTTCAAGCAACTGGGGGCCCGTAACTACCCACGGCAGACTCTACGCCACACGCGGCCAGCACTGTCGGCCAAGCTCAGCCTGCCGAGATTGGGGGGGGGGGGGGGGCGGGGGGGGGTTGCATGCGATTCTACTTGGAGGGCGCGTGCCCGGTGGGGGTAGTGTGCGTGCGAGTTTTGGGGCTACAATGTATACATCCAACACTAATGCTCCGAGCAAGCCGCTTTGTGGTTTCTTATTTCCCATTGGGTTCCATTAATTTCGGTTACATACCAGTTCAATTTGAAAACAAAGGGCAGGGTTTCATGAGATGGATGATGCACGTCTAGACCAACGGGAGAGCTTCTCAGCTTCTTGGCAATCCAATGGTTGATTCTTAGTTATGGTTTGGGTTAGGCCTTCTGGTCGCAGTGGCATATGCAGTGATACAATGTAAAAGAAATGAAGCTTCCAGTAAACCAGCAGGAACGGTAGTGTTTGTGGGACTGGCATTGAGTATCGAAATGTGGGAGATCCACAGAATGAATGCAGTCAGTAGGTCCTGGCAAGAAGGAATTTGGTCCCACCCTCACACTCAGATTTCCATCTCTAGAAGGCGAAACCAATTTCTGCATCCACACTTTCCATAGGAAATAAAAAAAAACTCACGTAGGATTCAATTCTGAAATACAGTCGCCGATCCAAGCACTATGCAAGCTTTGCTTCTGAGATCTGATATGTTCGGGCGCATTCAATGTGAGTGTGGCCACTCACGTGCAGGTGCAGGCCGATGTCCTGGCAGTAGGAGCGTCCGCCCGCCCGTACGCTCAGCTCCCGCTGCAGCGTCCGCTCGGCCGTCTCGTCGAAGAAGGCGCGCGGCGCGACGCGGCTCGCGTCCACGTTGCTCGTGTACGCGATCCCTGCACACGGGGACGCGCACGGGACCGCCGCGACGGCACGCGCGAGAGGGATGAGTGTGGAGGAACGGGGTTCGCGGCGCTGGTGCCAGCGGTGGAGTGCATGGGGTCAGGGTGCGTGGCGCACAACGGTGAGCCCCATAGCACCACCCGGCAGCCGTAGCAGCATCTGTCAGCACAAATGCAGCCTCAGGGCCCGTGCAGACGTCTGGGTACAATGAATTACACGCAGGTTGCTATTTATATTTATCTGGAATATAGGTCGTTTCATCATTATTGAGGTACGTGGGTGCGTGGATGTGTGGCTGGGTAGTTGTGCAGACAGTTGCACAGGTAGGTGGGTGGGTAGGTGGTAGAATTGTCGACACAAACATAGGTGCTAAATTCCTCTTGATATGCAAATTCCTTTGTCAAGGCGCCCTTCCCCCTCCAACCCAGCTTAAATATACGCTGCCAAGATTGGTGGTGCTCATTCAAACGCTGTCTTTCCGACAGACCTGTTCTTCACCTCAGGACGGCTGCTTGCGTTGTGGCCGAAACGTCATGAGATTTATTTTATTATGTTTTATTTTTGTTATTTTATTATTTCCCTTCTACGTGGCTTTACCGAAAGAACCAAGAAGACATAGGTGGGCAGTTACGTAGCTAGTTGCAGATGTAGTTGTATAGGAAGACAGTTGACTAGGTAGATCGGTAGCAACATAAGTGGCTGGGTAGTTGCTGAGGTAGTTGCATAGTTGCAATGGTAGGTGAGTGGGTGTGGAAAATCTGATACGAATATAATTGGGTTAGTAGATCGGAAACTAAATATGTAGTAGCCAAGTAAACAATAAACATATGGGACAGTGTTGCAAGTGGTTCACAATAACGTCAAAAGCTCGACACATTCATTAAAACTGCCTTCATATACAGAAATAGTCTTATATTTTGACTGATGGCCCTTGGCTACACAGAAATAACCAATGTTCTGAAGCAGTAAATATTTCCCGAAAAATATCTGCGTATTATAAATGTTCGTGTTGTTTAAAAGGCGGTGTGAATGATGAACGCGTTGAATCTATTTCGAATTGTGTTTGTAAGCTAAGAAGGTATGCTCATGGCCTTTATTAAAACCAGGTGAGAACTCAATGATACAAGGAGAGTCTGTCGGGGGAAATTCACTGAGAAATACAGGCGCGAGCTTTCAGGAAACAATCATATGAAAGTAGCAAGTGAGCAAAATCGCATACTTGCGGTGCAGTGTGCACTACAGTGCAAGGTAAACATTTTAGAAACCCCTTAAGTTTATATCAATCAACAGCGCTGTAATTATATCATTAAAATGTTGTGCACGAATGTAGAGAAAAGGTAACAACGGTCCATTCCTCGCACGCTTTCTCAGGTCTCCCCTGAAAATTAGAAACCGCATCTCAGCGGCCTCTCACCTGAATCGTAACCGAAACGGAAATTGAGAGGAATGCTTTGCATGTCGGGGGTCCCCATTTAGCCGATCCCCCGAGGCACCCAATGCCCCAAACACTTCAACCCTTAATCCCTGCACGCTGCGCCCCACGCTAATCATCATTAGATGTCATACTAACAGGCAGATGTCACGGCGAAAGTATGCCAACTCTCCACCCTAAGACCATGTTATCCACAATGCGCCCGCACTCGGATACCAAAAGGTCGGTAGGGTCGAGCCTGATTTATTTTGGGATTTAGCGCTCGGATGAGAACCAGATTGGGAAGACGATATGTTTGGTAAGCTCTGGGTACCAAGGTGGCCAAAAAGTGTCAGGAAGCGTTGTGGGCTTTTATCGGGATGCCCCGGTTTCTTCCCACATGAATCCGAAAGCTCATTAATGGAATTGGCAAGACGTCCCTTCTGCAAAAACAAGTCTTCAAAATCAGCCGTTCCTTCACAAAAAAATGGGGAAAATTGTTACATTCTCTTTGGTTCTTTCGGTAAAGTCACGGAGGTAGAAAAATAAAATAAAACAAAAATAATCTATCACGACGTTTCGATCGCAACAGAAGTGGTCGTCCTCAGGCAGAGAAAATAATCCAGCAGTGGAACTGCTGAACCAGCGAGAGAGCTGTTACAACAAAGTTATATAGGATACAACAAAGTTATATATGATACAACAAGGTTATATATGACATATATATAACCTTGTTGTAACAGCTCTCTCGCTGGTTCAGCAGTTCTACTGCTGCATTATTTTTTTCCGCCTGAGGACGACCACTTGTGTTGCGATGGAAACGTCGTGATTTTTTGTTTTATTTTGTTTTATTTTATTTTATACCTACGCGACTTTACCGAAGAGTATGGATTCCTGCAGTCACGAAAGCTTCAAATAAAAATTGTTACATTGTTTGCAAATGTGCTTAATTTCCCCGAAGAGTTAAAAAATTACTTCCCAATGTCTTCTCACTTTTAATATGTATATATTTACGTTGTTGTTATTATTATGAAGGCATTGTACTTTTTTTCTCCAATTTTGATGAAGTTATGCTTTTAGCTCTTGCCAAAAATTATACATTTGGATCGCACGCAAAGCAGTTGCATCCCTTTTGTGTTAGAGATCAGCCCACGGATCCCTTCACGTGACCTCTGGTATACACACGAGGGGGGGGGCAACACTTTTTCACCCACTCTGCCAGCGAGAGTAATATTCATCGCACGGCAATCACACCAATATTTGTAACTCTCAGAGCTGGATATTTAGCCAATTTTAGGTACAGAACCAAATTATAGTCCGCGGGTTTATTTCTGCAGTCATTGTCGACAGGGCTGAGACATACAACTCACTGACCTTGAGAACCTGGTTTAACCACGGGCGGTTCACTGGATTTGAACCCGGGATCTCAGTTGAGGCAGTGCAGTTGTCAATGTAATGATTGGTCTACACTTCGCGAAAAGTTTTCAAGACTTTGAAGTGTGCAGTAGCACGTCTTGGCAAGGGACAAAGTGGACATTCTATTGGCAGCACTGCAAGCGCTGTGCAGTAATGGAACTTTCTTTAGAGCATTTTTCTTGTATTGAGCAAATGTATTTTTGTTACACGTACAAGGTGCATATGCATGTGCCAGTACCCGTCCTCGTTTGTTATGGAACATCTCTTTGGCAGGAGAAAGTAACCATTACATAATATTCTGTAACGTTACACCTTCTAATCTTTCACTCTGCACTTTGAGAATAAACACCCAGTGGTGTATTTAAATACGGTACACAGCAATTTCAATTTGCTTCATTGCCAATGTGCAACAAGGTATATATACAGCTGCTACATGTGTGTAAATAGTCTGCATGCAAAACTAAAAAATATATCAATATCAAAATCATTATCTCCCACGATCTGCTCAAAAAATTCATAGGATGGCATTCACGTGATGGAAATTCCATATGTCCATGGTTAGGTCAGTTCGTTCCTATTATTACAACACCTTAGATATTTTGCAAATGTTAATATTGTCTCTATGGGCTCTCTCCTGGTTATGAATGCATCCCAGTTATAAATCTCAACCCTTTTGTTCTGTACGATGTTTATCAAATTTAACTGAGCATAGTCATATTTTGCACTCCGTCATTGTTTGCTGACACGGAATTCTTTTTAAAAATGAGACGTCTGGTCCCAACAGGCTCCTATCTGGTATTAGATACACGAAGTATATTTGTAATGTCATCTATTTCTCTTGGCTTTTTTTGTGAATTAAACTTTAAATTTTAAATAAATTGTGTTTTGCATACCAGGTAGAATGGCTGTTTTCAAGCCATACACTTCCCGTGAATTTCAAGGCAAAGGCAGCCATGGTAAGAACAAATACCACCTAGGCCTGTGCTATTTTAGAGCAACTGAACTCTTTCCTAATAGCCTGTAAATGTGTCACCGCTGCCCATTTACCACAACAACCCGAGCAACTTGCATCCCACTGGGATTTTTTGCACACAGCGTTGAAATACGGTGCTTTTTCTGGAAGACTTTTCTGTTTTTTTCCAGGATTTTTCTGTTGCGTGTAGTCACTTTAAGTTGTTCCTTGTTCATGTTTTTGTTTTGTTGCGGTTGCACCCGAGTCAAGAGCCGCATTGCTCACAGGGTTATACCTAATTAATGAAACTGAAACTGAAAAAAAATTGAATAAAAAGCAACGCTGGCTGCCCATTCACAGCTGGTAAACAGCTATGAATGCAATTTTGTCCTCATGATGGCGCGTGAATGAAGACTTTTTGGGGCCAAAATACACAACACAGACCTCTCAAACGCCTACTTGCGAAGACTGCGCAATGTCCAGACCTGCGATATCAATCTGGCTGGTGTGTTTTTCACACTTGTAAAACTTGACGTCCCAATGAATTCTATGACAATGTGACTAGTGACCCACTGCTTGTTTCTCCCCTTTGTTTTTTTTTCCCTGCCACATCCATGCAGGCAGCAGAGGCAAACCGGTCCTCCTCTAAATAAAAGATGGGTGGCGAGTGTGAATACTGCTGATATAATGTCTCCTGTGCAACCTATACGGGTCTTTTCCCAATATTATGCACAGGCCACCCCCTCTGGTGGTGGCATTGACAAACCTTGAGGAGTGCATTGTGGGTGCTGCAGGGCATCTGAGGAGATGATCCGTGGTTTGTTTCTCCTGACAAGCAGATTGAATTGAGAACGCAAAATTGCCCCGGTGTAATATCAGTGACCCAATTCTCCCTAATAAGACAACCTGAAATGGGCTCCGCACTTTCTGAATGTCTGGTGTAGGTTGCTGCCACCAGCCTGGAGCCCCTTGTGCTGTTGACTCCCTGGCCCTGTTCAAGTCCAGGCTGAAGACCTTCACTTTTTTTTCCTCTGGCTATGATTGACTACCTCTCTCTACAAATTTTTTTTTAAGTAAAAAAGATATCATAAGTGGACATTACATTGGTGGTACGCTAGCAAGTGACCAAAGCGGACGTTGTGAATGTTTTTACACGATGTTTTCATTTATCTTGCCCGCGATGTGTGTATGTACGTATGCATGTTGGAACTTCTTTCGCACTGTACGTAGCCAATCATGCTAATCGGGGGTGCGGATCACTTTCAATCCGTTTCAATCCACCTCGTGTCGATGCGCCATGCACTATCGCGTGCTCTGCACGCATATTTTTTTGTGTAGAAGGGTGTCTCGGTCCACTTTTCCTGATATATCTGCTTTGAATTTTTTCCCTCTGCTTTGCATCGAGTGCCTCTTTTCCTCGCGGGACTTGAGCAGCGTTTTTGAGTAAAAATGACCTCAGCAGCGAAGGGAAGGCTGCATTGCTGAATCTTTCAGGAATTTTTTTTTTAATGGCTGTAATGCTGCCGCGTCTCTAACTCTAAGATTATTTATTTTGCAGCTGTAATAGCCAAAATATTTGACTCAATTTATTTTTTTTCTCTTCCTTCCACATCGGTAAAATATACTTTGATGTTCAAACATTGTCCTACGCCTTTGCGGAGGCTGACATCAACATGAGCATGGATCCGAGACCTTCACTGAGAACAGAAAAGTCTGCCCACAGTCAAGACTCAGAATGGATAAAGCTAAAAGAAAATGACGTGGAGTTATTTAAATACCATTTGTGCCTACAATCACAGGAAGTGTTATACTTTGAATTTCATTCTTGTTGCAAGTCTGCGTTCAATACTATCTGCCCAAGCGTGTTCAAGATGCATTGGTGCCCATGAGTATGTATATTATCGCTCCGGTATATCCAACTTTGCCATCATGGTCACGTCATGAGGTGATGAGACATCAACCTTCCTGGACATCTTCAGTCAGCAGAGAATCTCATTTCATGCCAGAGGACGATGCCACGACACTACTCGGCGCGTAACGATTCACCCTCGCGTTGTTTATCGGAATGTCAATTCCACTCAAAAACAACTTTTTGTTTTGACATTTGGGCGAATGTATAGCCCCTCTCGTGTCTGCAATGGTTAGGGGAACCAGTCGCATATAACGTACACACATTTTAAAGAAAGTCAAATCTAACAATCATGGATTTCATTAATTGTAGTGCAGCCTAAGATCGTGCTGTATGGGGAACTGTCCTCTGGTCATCGCGACATAGGGGCACCACGAAAGCGATACAAAGAAGACTCCCTGAAGAAGTCCCTCACTGCTTGCTGCATCGATCACCATCAGTGGGCAACACAAGCAGCTGATCGCAACTCCTGGCGGCACACAGTCCACCAGGCCACCTCCTTCTTCGAAGATACCCGCAGGGCCCGTATGGAGGACAAAAGGAGAAGGAGGAAGAACCATGATCCCTCAGCACCCATCCCAGATGAGACCTATACTTGCAGCTGTTGTGGCAGGACCTGCTTGTCCCGCATAGGCCTCTTCAGCCACCAGCGTGCCTGCAGAAGACGTGGATGTCCTTCCTAGATCTTCGTTCGCGAAGCCAAGCCATGATGATGGGTGATGATGAGTGCAGTAATCGAATTTAAGCGATGAATTGATGCATCATTACGTTACTTCGCAATTAGCCTTCCTAACCCGCACAACCCTAAGCGGTTGCTCCATCACGCTCTGCAAAGAGTGGATCGATACAAACTTTAATCGGATGCTTCTGTAAAGTCATCCTTTGAAGCTGATCTAAGCTGAAGTAACAACCTCAACGTTTACCCCTCTGGGATTTGTTGCCTGCCGAGGCGAAGGACTTCAGTTTTGCATCAGACGAAGTCTCGGGCCCGCGAGCTGTGCTCCAAAGACGTTGAATTACGTTCGCAGCAGCTTTCTTGACGTGCGGTGAATTTTCACAGACGGGTGCCGTGGGACCAACAGTGCCAGGCTGGAAACAGCCGACACGGGGAGAAAGGCCCGCTTTCAATACCCGTGGTGCGGGCTAATGTGCAGGTCGAGGCAAGAATTTTTGAAACCATAAACAATGGCGAGATCTCACCAGAGGCTCACGCAACGCAAATGCCGCAGTTGAATATGGAAACACGGCGTTCCATTGCTGTGGGAGCACGGGTTGGGTTGCGCGCGGGGAGAACGGGGAGCTGAGAGGAGACGAGAGAGGAACAACTCTGGAGGAAGTGAGCCCCCCCCCCCCCCCGCCAACAACCCCCCCCCCTCTCACCCCGTCAGGGCTTCTAAACGGCAATGCCATTTTGAGGCATGAGCTGCCTTTCACGGGCGGGAGAATAATTTAATCCTAACCACCCGGGTCACGTTGGAAAACAACTAATTTGTGGCCAAAATGTTTGGCATACTTTCGTGATTTCGGGAGTAATAAGGTCACACTTTTGATGCGGTGGCCGGCAGGCTTGTTGCTGCGCTTGCATTGTGCCATAGGCTGTGAGTGGCAATCGTGGAAAGTGGATACCTCTGGACTCGTTGTTAGGCCGTCCTGGTTTCCTTGGCTGGCGCTCGGTCTTGTCGATGCCGGGCCAAGGTTGCTTCATCATACGCTGTGCCGTGGTAATCCTCTCTCTTTCCTCTCCCGTGATTCCATGCCCTGACATCTCCTCCCCCACCCCTCGCTCCCGCCCCACCTTTTGCTCCAATGTACTGCCGTTATTTACCTTTTTTTAGTAAGCATCCTGAGTTTGTGATTGCATTCAGATGCTCATGTAAACATATACAAATGGCATTTTTTACGAAATGACCTTCAGGTGTAATGATTGAAAAGTCAAGCTCCTTACAGCCACCTCGGGCTTGCACTGCATGTAAACACTGCAACATGAATTGTGCATTTGTTTAAGTGCTGAGTTCCAGTAGTGAACCCTCAAGGGCAGTGTTTTACATTGATACATGTGCAGCGCATGAGCCGTGGCAGACTTCAAGTTCTCAGCATCCACCAACCATCTGTAGCTGCTAGAGCAACCGCCTAAGTCCTTGATGCTGCCTAGATGTTACAGGCATTACCCCCACTCGAACATTGTGGGGCCTCACTTTAAAAATCATTTGAAAATAGGCTGCAGAGCGGGCACACATAAGGTCAGCGCATACTGTAGTGCAGCTGATTGATCGGCGCGCTACTGAAGGAGAGGATTTGCGAGTTAAAATCCCCGCTGAGGTAAACGCGCCTCATCATCCCTCTGGGGATAAAATGAGCACAACCTGGTGGGTTGTGTGAAGTGTTTGTGCTCTGGAGAAACTGAGAGGAGGCTGGCTAAAAGAAAGTGAACTGTCCATTGCTTTCCTAGGCAAGGACATGTGGCTTTACTACAAGACAGCCCGTTGCTTTCACACATGAAGGCCTCGGCACTGCCAGAAGAGATCAGCACCACTCAACTCTAGCTTTAAAGTGGTAACACCGACCGCTGGATGCTTTCATAAGAACATACAAATCACATTTTTAATTACAGCCTCGGTAAATGAAAGAAATGCGGTGTAAAATTAGGACAAAAACGAGTCAACCTGGTGGAAATTACATATGGAGTGTACAAAAACAATGAGGCTTATGCCAAATCGTTCGCAATGAGTTGTCCAAGGGGACTTTATAGCCTGGAACAAGGTGCAAGCGTGGTGAGACGACCACTCTCAATTAAGAATGATACAGTACATATTGATCATTGTGAGTACTTGCAATTGTAGATATCCAAAAACGAGTTGTTACCTTACTCATCAGTTAAGGTCATCCTAAAGTTGTGAATTGCTTAAGTTCTGTGCTAAACACGAACATCGAAATACAAATAAAATCTCCATCATCAGCGAAGCAACACATTTTACACCCATGGGGGGGTGTGACACTAAAGCCAACGAAAAGCGGACAAACCTCACCGCCGTGTCAAAGTGTCTCTGCTCAAGCGAATACTGAACAGTGCTCTCATTGCCAGTGGTGGCACGGAGCTGGCGGTGGAAATTCCACATTCCTATGGCGGGGGGCCAGACTGTCTGCAGGGCAGCCGATGTCGGCGTACAGGTCGTGCACGTGTGCGCGTGCACGGGTCCGATCGTAAAACCGGCGAGACTCACAGATGTCGGAGTCGGGGGTGAGCGGCGAGCGGGCGGTCGCGTGGAAGCACACGGTGGCCGTCACGCAGATGGAGTCCTTCCCGTTGCGCAGGCAGCTCTTGTTGAGCAGGATCACCTTGGGAGGGCTGAAGGTCACCGTGGCGTTCATGTGAACGATGCTGCGCGACCTGCAGCGCGGTTGCGGGAGAGCGACATTTTTATCGGCGCTAGGCAGGAAACTTTATTCATTTTTGAAATGTTCTATAAAGAGGGGTGCGGCGTGTTACCATCATGTTCAAGTTTATTTACCAGCAATGCCGGGCACGGTTGCCACCTTCCAAAGAGCGATATGTTTTATATTTAATTTACAGATGCACAGTATACTCCACAACCAGCGAAAGAGGCAAACAAACACAAAAGCGGACATTCGGAGAAATGTGTGTGTCAGTGGGGTGAATGCATAATAAAAACAGAGATGGTTAGGATACGGGTGGGTGGAGTTTGTGTGATTAGGGGAGCAGGCCCATTGTAAAGGGTACGAGGAAAATGAAGTAAGTTGATAAAATAGCAATATGCTAGGGTGAGGTTGCTACTTCCTAAGGTACAAAGAAAAAAGGATATATCACGGTAATAATACTATCTAAAGTAGCAGAACAGGGGAGGTCTACGAGTAAATGCGTCGTAATTAGTGGTGTAATATTTACCAACGGACAAAATACCCGACTTGTAATGTCCCGGGAAAGAAAAAAAAACACACAAATTGTGAAGCTGTTTTCAATGAGCAGACTTTTGGCAAAAATAATTGTAACCTTTGCATTATTTCTACACTCAGAATCAGACAGAAACAACTTTCTGCCAACATAACGACAGATATTTAAAAAGAGCTCAATGAAAACAATAAACATTTAAATCCGAACAGTGTTATTTTTCCCGGAGGAGAAGACTTCGCCAAAAATCCAAACAACATTCACAACATTCACAAGACCCATCCACGTTTGAAGCCCTGGTGCAACTGCACCGCCTGCACACTGGCCAGCTACGCCGCTGGGTGGGAGTGGACGACGCAAGTGAGAGAGCGAGCGAGAGAGAGGAGCTGGGTTTAGTCCCGCGCCACCTCACCGTAACAAGACGGCGTTGCCCAGGGCACCCACGCTCAGGTCCACGATCCCGTTCCCATCCACGTCGAGGCGAGCGTCCACCGAGCGGCCAAAGTAGACCAGGCTGGAGCTCACGTCCACTGCCGCAACCCTCTGGGGGTACCGGCAACGACAGGGGGCATACAACTTGGTTCCTCATCACCACCTTCAATTAGCACGGTTGTCTACGTATAGTGCGAAAGAAGTTCAACATACATACCAGCTGTGTCGCGTGCCAGCTAATCGGGCAAGCCACACAAGGTGGGGTTCCAGATTTAATTGTTTAACCAGGTGAGAACTCGTGAGACCAGGAGAGGTCTCATTTTCAAGTGTGACCTGGGTGGCCAGAAGCTAGCGATGGCTGGGAATCTGAGGGGTAAGCAACCTTACACACGGGATACAATGGGGAGCTACTTGTAACCAGGTGGTACCCATGTTAGTTGTTGTAACGTTCTGACCCGCCCCTACTGGACATCTTTGAAAAAGAGCTTCATAGCTCATCGGATTGCTCCAGTGTCCAATGAATATTCAGACTCTGAGTAGTAGGTTTCAATGAGTTGATGGACGTCCCAGCACTTGTTATCGCTCACCACTGACGTTTGCCATGGCCAGGAATTGAACTCGGGTGGTCAGGTTCATAGCGCAGTGCAAGAATCACTGTGCCACCACTCCCCACCCCCTAGTAGTTAACACACGGTGTTAGTTTCCCATCATGCAAATAACACAATTCTCTAAAATAGCATGCTTAAATGTTAGTAAAGCTATTTATATGCAGTACTATCCATACATCCGCGTATAGCATAGCATTCACATACCTTCCTGTCTGTAAATGTGCACATTATTCACACGTAAACCCTTACCCTGTTACCCTGCCGTGTGCCTATCGTATTACTCTGTACACATTTGAAGGTCAAGTGCTTTGTATCGTTTTCAATTGTGCTGTCCTTTAGCAACGTTCACAAGTCTGACCACGTGCCAATGCTAGCGGCAAAAGACTTTAATATAAATGGATCCATCGCAGCACAACGTTCACATTTTTCATGATCTTACTTCATAAGCTCAAAAAAAAATTCCAAGTAAGTGGAGCTTTTTTATGAGGCTAAACATGTCATGCGAGAGCCCCTTGGTATGCGGGTTCACAGCTGTGACGAACAGCGTTCGCCTGCACGTGATGACGGTGTCGTTGGTACCATTGGTGGCTATGAGCTGGGATGGTGGTTATGGAAATATCGGTGATTATGGAAATAGTGGTGGTCATAGCGATGTTGATGGCATTGTGGTTGTAAAGGTGGTGATGACAGCGATCATGGAGATACCGCTGGTAGTCATTGATTGTGATGGTGATGGTCAGTTGATGTCGCCAATGGTGGTTTAAGTGATGTTGATTCTGCACGTGGGTGTGACGGTAATGATGGACTTGATGGTGGTGATGACAATGGCTGTAGTTGTAATGATGTTGATAGCGGTCGTGGGTTGTGATGTATGTATGTTGAACTTCTTTCGCACCATACGTAGACAGCCGTGCTAATCGGAGGTGCAAGGGAAGGGCAAAAAACTAAACACAAAAATCAGTTCTAAAGAAATACATGTTCAATGTAGATTTAACAGTGCACATCTCCAGTGGCTTCCTAATATCAGAAGGAAGAGCATTCCAGATGGCTGCAGAAGCGCATCTGAAAGCGCGTAATGCAGTGACCATCTTTGTTAGATGGCTAGCCATCAATAGCTCGTGATGGTAGCGACGGTGGTGCCGACGGAGATCATGGTGGAACACGAGACCTTCCGCGATTAGGAAGCCACCGGAATTTTGCACTTTTGAATCCAGATTGAAAACTCATTTCTTTACAACTACTTTTTGTGTTCAGTTTCTTGTCCTTCCCCGCACCTCCAATTAGCACGGTTGGCTAGGTACGGTGCAAAAGAAGTTCAACATGCACACACACACACACAGACCTGTGCGGGCTGCGGCCTCAAGGTGCGCCCGCGGCCGTGGTAGATGTAGAGGGCCCCACGGTGGCCGTCCTCCAGCGGGGCCCCCACCACCACGTCCGCCAGCCCGTCCTGGTTGATGTCGGGCAGCAGCGCGATGGCCGAGCCGAAGCGGGCGTCCTGCTGCCGCTCCTCCGCAGTGGAGGAAGCCGGCCGGGCGGAACGAGCGCTGGGTAGAGAGAGGAGGAGACCGCGAGTGAAGTTGAAAGTCAATATTCTTGGGTTTTTTCGGTAAAGTCACGTAGGTAAAAAAATAAAATTTAAATTAATAAAGTAAAATAAAAAATAAAATGAAAATCACGACGTTTCGGAGGCAACACAAGCTTCCGTCTTCAGGTGGAACCGTCACAGCACGATAGCTGTATCAAGTAACTTACTTGATACAGCTTTCGTGCTGTGACGGTAACTTACTTGATACAGATATCGTGCTGTCACGGTTCCACCTGAAGACGGAAGCTTGTGTTGCCTCCGAAACGTCGTGATTTTTATTTTATTTTTATTTTACTTTTATTAATTTAATTTTTTTACCTACGTGACTTTACCGAAAAAACCCAAGAATATGAATCCTTGCAGTCACGAAAGCTTCAAATCTAGAATTGAAACTCAATATTTTAAACAATCGACGTTTGCACCTTGTGTGCGCGGCAGTGGCACAGCAGCAGAGCGTGCAGGCGGTGCCTCTGTTCTGGGACCCGTCGAACGAAAAGGCCCAGGTATCGAGCAACAAAGAGAGGGAGAAATCGGATGGGGAAGGCCCCATTTCATTCCCTGCAACCGCTAATATGCCGTTGGTACGCAGCTTGGCAGAAAGTGGATTTAAAACCGAGTCGTGCGTGCGGCATTGCACCTGTGTGTAAATTCGTTTTGGTCATAGAGAATGATCATGCAGCGTGTGATGAGTGATGATGACAGTGGTGATAAAGTGGATACAATTTCCAGCCAGCCCGGCGTGAGAACACACGACAACCGGGTCCGTCCCACGACCCACTCCTGTCAGCAGTGACCTCGGGAGTGCCCCATGACTGGCAAGGGTACCGTGATGATGTCACCACCACCTGGTCGTGGGTGGCAGCTGTTGAGTGAGTCGTGCTGGCCACACCACCTTCAGATGCACTGTGTTGGCCTCCATGAGTTCTTGCTAACAGCACTCTATATAGGCTACATGGGCAATGTTTGTGCGTGTGTTTTTGTTAACCTTTGTGCACGTGTCCGTGCTTGCATATGTGTGTGTACCTGCACGAGCGCGGCTACCCGTGTATTTTTGTGTGTGTCTTACGTTTGTGTGGGTGAACGAGCTTGCGTGCGTACGAGTGTATGTACGTACGTCGAACTTCTTTCGCGCCGCATGTAGCCAACCGTGCTAATCGGAGGTGCGCTGGGGCATGCGGGGGCACGCAGGACCAGGTGGGAGCACGTGGGGGCACGTGGGAGCACGCAGAGGCATGTGGGAGCACGTGGGGGCACGTGGGAGCACGCGGAGGCACGCGGAGGCACGCGGGAGCCAACCTGTGTCAAGGTGTACACGTAGACGCGGCCTGTCTCGCGGTTGCCCGGCCCCAGGTACATGGGCGCACCCACGAGCAGCAGGTCGCTCACCCCGTCGCAGTCCACGTCCACCGACAGCACCTCGCTGCCAAAGTACGAACCGATCTGCCGCACGGAGATCAAGACGCGTACCACTTCTCAGTCACGTGTACACGTACACAAACAGCCCTTTGTCGTTCCACCGCTGGAGGCCGTGCGGGTCAAGGGGTTATCTTACAATACTTTACTGAATTGGTCTGTGTGGTTTTAGCGAAAGGGCGGCCCCAGGAGAGGTTCCGATTTCACTTGCCACTGATGTTAGCCGTGGCCACTAATGGAACTTGCGCGGCTGAGTTCACAGTGCGGCATGCTCGCCACTGCAAAACCACCGCTCCCAACCCTTTAAGAATTGTCAACCGAATGAAACGTGTCAGAAGAGAGAACCGTTTAAATAAATAACGAGCAGACGGTATGCACTACGCTTCATCATTTCAAATTCCAAAGCTGAACCCCGGGTCATGCACAAATCCGTTTTACATTTACAGCCCAAGAGCAGAGGTCCGTGGCACGGGGGTTTTATTACCGTCCTGATCCCCAGCAACGGTCTCCAGCTGCCGCCCTCGTGTAAGCAGTTTGAATTTAAAGGGCGGCAGGAAGAGACTTAACAAGGGACGGGGCTCTTCGCCACATGTTCGCGATTTATTTTTTAATTTTCTTTCAAGAAGACTAATGCGATAATGCGTGTGCGTCGGGTGGCAAGTGAAGTTGCTTTTAGCACACACACACACACACCAACCAACAAGGCTCAATGCTCATCGCTTGAGGCATGCTGGTCTTAACAGGTAGATATGATTCGGCAAAAAAGGGGTGCATTGTAGAACGGGCAAGGGGTGGGTTCGCGAAACAGGCGTCGTCTCCACAAGTGCGGCTCCCTAGGGGAAGACCTAAGACCGGATGGTGGGATACTCTGTTCGGGCTGATCTTAGAGATCGCTGTGTGTCTACTGTGCGTCAGCTGTGGGATCTGGTGGAGGGCAGAGGTTGCGGTGGCATCAATGGCTTCGATCACGACGACGTCTTCATTTCTTTCTTCCACACAGGCGGTCGCTCGCCGGCAGCACTTGCCTTGGTTGATGTTCAAGGTGTACGTGCCAGTTATTTCCATACCCGTCAACCCATACGGTTTACCCGTATTCTTCAGGTCCATACGGCGTACAGACGTTTCAATACGGACAAACATTTTGTTCTTGTCCATTTTTTTGTGTTTCTCCCATGCGATGGGACTTTGTAGGATGAACGTTGAGATGTATAAGGGCACGGGGTGACCACTAAGATCTGAATTGGTTTGTAATAAGTTAGGGCACTGATAAGCGGTTGACAGGTTTGTATTTCTCAAGGGCTGATTCACAATACGTACACTGTACAGGATATGAAGCGTAAACATCTGTCCCCATTGGCGGCCCTCCCCTCCACTCCTCCACCACCGTAGCAGTGGACCCCCCCCCGCCCCCCCAGGCCAGGTCTCACCTGGTCCCCGTGGATGGCCTGGTGCACCGTCACGTGTGCCTGCTCGTCGAGGCTGAAGATGAGCACCTTGCCCGTGTGGTTGAAGCGCGGCGCGCCGGCGATGTAGTGCTCCGCGTAGCGGCTCGGCCGGGCCGATCCCACCGAGTAGCCTGCAAGGGGTCGCCGGTGCACGGGAAGGATGCCTCGTTAGTAGGGGTCAGCGACGGAGGTCGCCCGGTCATGTGCGTGTGCACGTATGTTGAACTTCTTTCGCACCGTATGTAGCCAACCGTGCTCATTGGGGGTGCGGGGAAGGACAAAAAACTGAGCAGAAAAAGCGGTTGTAAAGAAATGAGTTTTCAATCTGGATTCAAAAGTGCAAAATTCCGGTGGCTTCTTAATCTCGGAGGGTGTCGTGTTTCACCATGATCTCCGTCACTACCATCACGAGCTATTGATGGCTAGCCATCGAACAAAGATGATCACTGCATTACGCGCTTTCAGGAAAACGAACTATCATCACGGTATCTGCTAGAGATGGCAAAGTAACTGGGGGGGAAATGTACCTTAGATACAAATTAGCAGTTGCTATGAGTTGCGTGTGAAGTAAGATGCTCATCACAAATGTAATTAAATGTAATGAAATAGCATATTTCATATAGATGCCGCCCATCTCTTTCAGTGTGTGTCGGTAAATGCCGACTCGTGTTGGCGAAGGGGTAAGTACTGGCGAATACTGACATCCAAATTAGACAAATGGAACTCTCTCCTCGGCAGGCTCCCTCAGTCCCCATCGTCTAAAATCCACCCCTTAAGATCACGTATCTTTCCTTTTGCGTCTTCTCTCAAACTGCTCAACTTAGAAATTCCCTCCCATTGTTAATTTTCCTGTTCTTAGAGCCTTTCTCAATGCAATCGTGCTCTCTGTTGCCGGCCACTTGTCACATTGGGCCCTCGGGCCTACGTTCAGTAAAACGTGACTTAAAAACAAAAATATCATACCAAAGCGAATCGATTAAATCGCCAAATCTGTGAGTTGTCACGCTGCCTACCAAGCCGACGCAGCAGCTGGTAGCGACGGTGGCCGCCCCCCCCCCCCCCCCCACACTGAGCGTGGGGGCCCCCCTCTCACCGAGGTAGGCGGCGTGGTTCTGGAGCTCCACGGGGGCCTCCTTGCCGAAGGCGGAGCGAGCGGGCACCGTGAAGTGGGTGCCCCTCTTGCGCACGACGGAGCCGCCCCAGTCGTACGCTCCCACGGCGCCCAGCAGGATCCCGTCCTGAGTGACGGGGGAAACGAGCGGAGACGTTAGTGGGGAAAAGGGGACCGGGAGCTAATGAGTTTCACGGGGCCGCGTCACTCTGCAGAGCGAATCGACGGGCATAGTGTCTCATGGTTCAAATGCAATTGCGTATGTTGAACTTCTTTCGCACCGTACGTAGCCAACCGTGCTAAATGGAGGTGCGAGGGAAGGACGACAAACGAGACACAATAAGCAGTTCGAAAGAAGTGAATTTTCAATCTCGAGTTAAAAGAGCACAGCTCCAGTGGCGCCCTAATATCAGAAGGAAGAGCATTCCAGACGGCCACAGAAGCGCATCTGAAAGCGTGCGATGGCCAGCCAAAAGCCGTTGTGAGGATAAAATGAGCATGGTCTCTGACTGTAAGTCACAATCTGCAGTCTTCTCTCTCTCTCTGCTGTGCATATGGAACGGTGCTTCGAAATGCTCGCTCGGGATTTCAACAACTATTCCTTGAGCCCTCGAGCCATTTTCCACTCGCATACTGCACAGATGCTGTACACTTTTGGCTTGTTCTCTTCACTTTTTTCTAATATTTTTGGGACAGTCGTGCAATGTGTTGAGGTTGGCACGTTAACGTATTGAGGCTGCAATCCCATCGTGGCAAACGACGTCATCCCCATCGCCAAAAGTGGGGCGCGATCCGCGTCGTTGTCGGCGATGGAAAGTTTTAAAACAAAAGAGTTTTCATCAAAAGAGTTTTCACCAAAAAAGTTTTCACCAAAAAAGTTTTCACCAAAAAAGTTCTCACCAAAAAACTCACGCGTGAATCTCACCCCGTAATTCAACATTGCCGTTGCTTACATTCGTAATATTTAACAATTTAAAAAATATTGTATTGACCATGAGTCACAACTCCGCATACAATTCGGTGTTTCATTTGCTTTGTTCCCACCTTCACCACAGCTGCTGAGAACCCGACTTGAGACATCTCCATGTCGAAGGACGTTTCGTTCTGCGTCACCGTCCCTGGCACGCCGCAATGCGGGAAGGTGGCGTGAGCGGTAAGAAATTATAAGATCGCTCGCTCACAATACCACAAGTATGTGTGATTAATGACGACTCGATGCCATCGTATTTGGTGTGTGGATATCTTAACACCTCCTGTAATTATGCCAGAAATTTAATATCTTGTTCCTGGCAAAAGAGTCCCATAGATATATATACTGTTTGAGATTTGCAACTGCTTGCAATTAATCTTGATTTGAAGCTTTCGTGACTGCAGGAATCCATACTCTTTGGTTCTTTCGGTAAAGTCACGTAGGTATAAAATAAAATAAATTACGACGTTTCGGGTGAAACACAAGCGTCCGTCATCAGGTGGGAAAGCATGGTCTGCTGCTGATGTAGACTGTTTTAAAAGGTTTGAGGGAGAGAGAAGACTTTTAAAACAGTCTGCATCAGCAGCAGACCATGCTTTCCCACCTGATGACGGACGCTTGTGTTGCGCCCGAAACGTCGTGATCTATTTTATTTTATACCTACGTGACTTTACCAAACGAACCAAAGAGTATGCTTGCAATTAGTTGATGTGAGATTCCTGCAGCCACTAAAGATGCTTCAAGACCACAACGTTTAAAGAGTTAACCGGCACTCCTCACCCTCCAGGCTGAATATCCGTTCGCCTAACGTCCCCACGATATCGTTGAGGGCCGCCTCGTCCGCCACATTGATGAAGTGCTTCTCCTCGGGCTCGCTCGAGATGGCCTTCAGCTCCGAGATGAAGTTGGAGGGGTCGATGTTCTTGCGCTTGTAATAGCCGAGCACCTGGAGGAACAGCGCACACTTGGAGCTAAGAGCAGGGTGGGCGGCTGAGCAGTGAAATTGGGACATTGACGAGACAATGGGAGATGAGTGTGTGTGTGTGGTTGTTTGGAATGCTTCACGTGGGTTAATTTATATATTTTTATAAGTTGAACAAATGTGGGTGTCATCCCCATCGTGACGATTGTTAATTTTGTAAGGGTTTTCTTTTTTAAAAAAACACAGCTCCTCCTGGATAAATTTTTCACAACATCTGACAAAATTCTGATGAAAGATTTATATGAAAATGCGGCTATTATGGTGAGAATAATAGCCCATTGTCCATGGGCCAGAGCAGAAATTTATACCTCCTGGTGTGACAACTTTTACGGTGCCCATTTATGTGGGCAATGAGAAAAAAAAATATGATTAGTGGTTGCATTAGAAGGTAATCAGTGTTGTGATTGGATTTTGTGGGAGTTCACGTGGCACTAACAAAGTGTACTATCTGGCCTGAACCATTGGAATAATGTATTTAATGTAAATACATGTTTTTTTTATTAACATTGTTCAATAAAATCTATTGTATTAAATTGATTTGTGAAATACAATTAATTATTAATGTTCAGTGTCATTTCAATGAGAAGTTTGTTTGTTTGTTTGTTTTTTGCAAAAAACGAACCAAATCTCAATTCACCAATTACAACCCAATGTATTTTCATATTGAGGGTCAGGCCTTGTAATCCCTGGTTCTCCTTGTAAACAGCAAAACCGTAAGTCACATAAAGAAAAGTGTATTTCAGAAATATGGAGCCACAAAATAGTTTCGTAAATCTGTCCTCATGAATTTCTGTAGTTTCTTAAACAAAAAAATCTACAGCAGAATCTGTATATGTTTGACTGTTTCCGTTATGGGAATTATATTTTCAGAATAATTTTTGTATACCATTTCCTTATTACGAAGTTAAATAAGCATACAAAATGGTAATTTTTGTTTGCTTCTTGCGAAAAAGAACACTTATAAATGGTAAATTTCACCAACATTACATCAGTTATGCAAGAATAAAGTAGATAGATGCTTATCTTGTCAAAGCATTACTGGCTCTTATGTTCACCGCAACCATATCTACACAATCACATTTTCTTTCTTCATAAAATACTGATCTATGTACTCGACTTGTATTTCCTGTAACTGACGTAACATGTTCGTGAAATTGTGTAAGATCTTTGAAACAACAATAGTAAGTAACGGATTAATAGGTTAACACAAATGTAGTTCTATGAATGGTCGATGCTTTAGTTATCTCCAACGATCGCGTCTCCGCTCGTCTGCTCTTCAAGGCTGCACATTTGCCCGTTCTCTGCTCAGCAGTACACAGTGCAGTGCCAGCTTCTGCTGTGTCTGCGGTTGCCGCTCGTGCGCCGCAACGGACGCACGACGAATTGGCTTGCGACGCCCACTCACGTTTTACCCCATCCAAAAAACGCACCCTTCGTCGCGCTCTCTGATATTTGCTGAATGGCTGTTGCATTGCGACTCGCACGCGAGAGTCGAAGCGGCAGTGGAATCCCAGTTGTTCATCCTCCGCAATGAAATGTTCGTGCCCACTCGCCAAATCAGGTGTCGCTCTTTCGACCGACAACCTTACGTTTTGGAAAGGGGAATAATAAAACATTTTGCTGCAAAATTTGTTTATGTTTTACTGAACCCTGTAAGATCATTTGGTTCTTGAGTTGTGATAAAAATGGCAGACTTATAGAACAAACATCTTTCAATAAACCACCATCATCACGATCACTTAACATTTCATAATGCACCCCCCCATGTAGCACATCTCGAGGTGACCTTCGGCAGGGCATCTCCCCCGGTGGCAGCTGTCTCCGCGAGGAACAAGGTGAACGTAGCACCGGCCAGAAAGTGGTCATTAGCCTGCCAATAGGGGCCGATGTTGCTGTGGCTTCTCAATCAAGGAACGTGCGAGTAATTGATCAAATTTTGACCCAATAATACCACATGATCTCGTCGTGAACTTATTGAACAACATTTTTTTTTACTCTTTTGTTGTTGTTCTTTTTTAACCAGGTAAGAGGCCCACACACACTTGAGCTGTATAACTTTTTTTTTCTTTTTTCCAGAAGCGACCTGGCCACACAACGACAGCTCAACGGAGTGGCCCATCGCGTGGACATTTATAGCCACCGAGTGCCGCCGTGGGCCGACGGCGTTTTCGGCGACGCCCCGGCCCCGTGCGCGCCACTCACGGCGATGGCGTAGCGCGTGATGTTGTCGCGCTCGCACGCGGCGATGGCCTCCGTCAGGTCCTCGCTGTCGTGAGACTCGCCGTCCGTCACCACGATCATCACCTTGCTGGCGCCTTCGCGCGCCCCAAACAGCGGGCTGAAGGCCTCCGACCTGCACTCAACACGGAGTTGGTGATGGTGGGTGAGCAGTGGTGGTGGTGCACAAGGGGATGGCATGCGAAATGGAAGCCATTTAAAATACCAAAATTCCATAAATATGATCACATGGATAACTCTGCTTCATATGCGCGTTCGATAAATGCTCATTCCTGGAGGCCAGGGGGGATTGGACCGTTTTGTAAATGATCAGAAAGTGACTTCAGACTTGCAACGCTGCTGGCACAGGACCGCTTCCGATTCCTGATCCCTCTGAGACTGATCAGTTCCAGACGGAGGTGTGGAAAGGCATCTGTGTTGTTGTCACTTGTTAGCAATGTTCATGTGAGATAAGTATCATGAAACGTGCGTTTGTTATTGTCCGTAAATAAATGTATATTTTAGACGAGCGTTTAACTGTGAATCATCCGGAAGATCACAATCAACAGCCTTCGTCAGACGAAGATAAGATCTACATTATTGTGGATTATTTTAACACGAGTCTGGCCCGGGAAGGTCACGCCAAGCGAGTGACATTCCAAACGCACTCATCCTGCGGTGACTCCGCAACATCTGCCCAGGGATTCGAAATACCGGTGCAGCAAATGGAATCATCAATCGATCCGTGTTGAGGTTTGAGTGAAATCTCCTCGCACGGTGCACGGACTTTACCACACTCTATAAATGCTATCGTCCAAACATCCTAACACTAGACCGTCTTGAAAAGGAGTCGCGAGACTCGGCAAGGATTTCCTGCACAAATGAATGACAGGGGCCTGCGTCCATAACTCAATGGGGCTGGTTTGGAGCTAAGCTGGTTGCCGTGGGAGCGTGAACTTCGGTGTGAATTCTGAGCCGATGCAGTCTTCTTCTTCAACCGTGAAAAATAATCACCGAATCGCCGTTCACTTTAGCCCCACAAACCTCTACCCTCAGCCTCTTCTAGTTTCCTCCATCTGAATCACCCACTGCAGACGATTATGTACTGTATGTTGAACTTCTTTCGCACCGTACGTAGCCAACCGTGCTAATCGGAGGTGCGGGGTAAGGTCAACAAATTAAAGAGGGCTCCAGGTCCCTGGCACGGAGAGAGAAAAAACATCTATAAAGCATCTCTTGTCACGTGGCTCAATCACTGCGTGTGTTATTGGGTCTGTCTAAAAGCCAACGGAAACAACATGGCTCGTATTAACGAGTAGTTTTCAGGCAGCAGAGTCTGGCGTCTACGTGTTCGATGGCAAGTAAAGTCAGTGAGCCAAAAAACTCCACGAGTTTCTTCGTCTTTCGCGAAGAAGGGCGGGCGAGAAACACGTTTCTTGTGTTTTACTGCGATACAGTGCTCGTGATTATGGATTTATCAAACCCAGTTTGTGTGTGCGTTATTGCGTACATACTGACGCATTGCATGTGTGCAGAATCTATATACTGTATTTCAGACAAACGACTTGGAATCTAACATAGAGTGGAATAAAATATATATTTAGTGTTACTCTGAGCAGTCAAATAACATTCAAAGATTGTGTTAGCAACTAAACATTCCCTGACAACGATCAGGATAACAAATATACCATATAAACAAAACAAAAGGCCGTCTCTTCATGTAAGAGCAAAATACATATGTGAACCCATCAGCTAATTGGCGTATTAGAAGAGAAAAAAAATCTGTAATTATAAAATTGGGTGAACTCTGGACCACTTCTGATTCTACTGATGAAACTCAGAAGATCAAAACCAATCCAAGATTTTTCTTTTAAAAACTCACGCCGCTGAATTATATTGACACGAACCGCCCATTGTCCGATGGACTGAAACATTATCTATAAATGAAGCGACCGCCTTTTTTCTGTCCATTTGTGGACAGTGCATTTGTCACCCATATCCCCCAATGGTTGTTTTTAGGGGCATCTTCGGAGAGCGACGTCCACGCGAGAACTACCATCGAACAAAGAGTGTGCCCTCGTTAACACAGAGCCGCCGAGAATGCAATTCGCCTGGGGGTTTTTATTTTTTATTTCCCCCCCCTTTTCCACCTCCCCGCCAAAAGCTCAATTTGTATACGTCGGGTTTTATTTTTAATTTTGCAGACAGCTGCAGCCTCTCCATATGCTCCAAAAAACGATCACCCTCCGATGTATTTATTCTGTAACAGTACCAGGAGAGTTCGTGTGCTCTTCGGCCAAGTTCCATTCGCATGTGGAGGCCTCTGTGCCAATTCACCAGATAACTTAAAATCGGTACAGAAAATCGGCCAAAAGAGGCCCCCTCCCACCATCACCTTCACCGCCACCACCACAATCTCCTCCACTCATCGTTGTGTCCCTAACCTCCCTCGCCCACCACTTTCCTCCCTCACTCCAGAGTTTGCATGGACCCTCACTCGTGCGTGTCTTTCCCTGGGCCCGAAGCTCATGCTTTGGCGGTTGAGTAATCGTATTCGCATGCCTGCAGCCTTTAATGACCATAATATTTGTGTGCGTGCATGTGCTCTGTGCTTGACAGCCTTCGAGCGTGGCTTGCACATGGAGACGTGCTTTTAAATATTTCCTTTTTTTTCTTTCTGCTCGCACACACGCTTTGTCCCCCCCCCCCACGCCCTTCTCTCTTGCAGACACCTACACACACCACCCCCCACTACTCCAACCCTCTCTCCCGTTTCCTTCTCCGTGTGTCTGCACACAGCGACCTATATCCACCACGTGCATCGTCTCAAGCCGTCGGTTTTTTTTATTTTACGTGACTTTAGTTTTTAACTTGGGGAAGCGTCCGGTCGTTTTGCAGTTTTTGCACTTCATTTCGTCACGAGCTTCGTGGTCTTTCTGGTGTTGTAACGATCTTTCTTTGCACGTGATTTTTTTCCCTTAAATTGCTTTCTCACGTTTTACTCGCAAAAGAGGCACGCCTCATTGGCGCTGTAGCTTGGCTTTAATAAAAACCACCCACCTCACTACCTGCAGGCTTTGGCAAAGGGCAGACGAGCAAATCTATGAGCATACTGTGCTATGTCCATATGTCTCTACTCCCCGCCTTTACGAACCCGCGTTGGCCGATGTGGTATGGTCTGGTAAAATAAGCCACGTGACCGACACGGCATGTGGAAACCTTGACCCAGCAGTGGATTGACAAAGGGCGAAACATATTCTCATATCTTACTACCTATCGACCTGCCTGGCTGCCTACCCACCTACCAACTCACCTACATGCTTACCTATTTATTCGCTTGCTCACATGCCCACCGATCTATCCTCACAAACTGTACCCCGACGCTTCCGAGGTCATAGCGGTCTGGCCAATTGTTGCTGCCAAATTTGAGGATTCAATGCGTCTAAGACAAAGTGACATTTCAGTTCAAGTGTATTTTATTGCGTGCTCAGAAATGTATGTTCTGATTTGAGGTGTCCTGGGAATATGAGCCATTAACATGCATCGACATTCCCTGAGCTTGTGCCAAGCTGCAAGAGTGCGTGGGGTTCTGTACAAAGACAAAGGTCCCCCGTATAGGCTTAACACACCGCAGGGGCAAGTGCTGTCAACAAGCCCTATGAAGGCCGGCACGGCACGCGAGGGGGCGGGTGGCCGGCATCACGCCCGGCCGCCTTTGTCTCCCCCAGTGGCGATGTTTGTACATCGCACCAGGGGAGCCCCAGGGACCGGTTCAGATAATCGTCACCGGCGTTGGCCGTGAGCGGAAATGGAACTCGTCGGGTTCCGTACGCCACCGTCCTGACTGGCGTCCTACTTTAGCACCGCAGGAATTCCTGAAGGACATTCTTCAGTTTGGATTTTGAAGGAAAAGGAAAGGACAGATGCTCTGGCCTAACTAAATAAAATTCAACAAACACAGATGTTTTCTTCTCAACGATAGTTAGCTGAAAATATCTGTACAGTAGCATATAACCACGTCAAGATGCGTTCAGACATTTTTTTGCAAAGAAATCTAATTTGTTTATTTTTTGTTTAAAGACATTCCATTTGTCTCGAATGGGAGCTCACTATAAACCGTGTGTAAATCGCAACGGGTTCTAACCAACCCCCCGTGTGAGACACTTGGAATTGTGTCAACCTAGCCTCTTTAAAATGGTAAAAAAAAATAGCTCATGGATGTTACATAAGCCATGCGAATTTTGGCATCAGTTAATTCAGTCTGGTCTTAGGTTAAATTTTTATTTTTGCAGTACCCCTATTAACCAACCTTCCCCCACCCCCATTTAACCTCCCCCCCACCCCATTCAACGGTTGGGGGGGGGTTACGATTCAACTCAGGATTGAATTCTGTAAAAATTGTGCCTTTTGTGAACCTGCACTTGAATGGCAAAGGAGTCTCAGCGGTGCAGACGACCAGAAGAATGGAATTCTAGGCAGTGGGAGCAGCGGCGATGTCTCGCCACGGCAGTTTTTTCAATTCCTCTGGTTGCTGCAGTGAACATGTTTCATCAAATGAGCTCCTCACAAAAAAAAACGTTATTCCCTCAGCTTACCAATCTTCCCTTTGCTCATTTCTTTTCCCCAGAGCATGCCACTCTCTTCATTGCCAACGATGTGGTGAATCATCAAGGTGATGTCTTGGCCGGTGAGTCTAGTTGTTAATCTGACCTACAATCCCTTCCCCGCTCCACCCACCCTCACACCGCCACCTCTAATGCTATTCGGTTTTACAACATGTTGTGATATGGTTCTGTTAGATGTTTTATAAACCCAAACTGTATGGCACATTTTTGAGTGGGTGATTTCACAATGTCATTGACCCTCAGTCACTTGCAGAATCGAAGCGACAACCGATGAACACCGATGAGTTGTACAGAGCCACCAATACTTGAGTTTGCTTTGTGTCATTTTAACTCTCCAGAATAAGACTCTGTATGACTCATCTTATTGGTTCTTTCGGTAAAGTCACGTAGAAGGGAAATAATAAAATAATAAAAATAAAACATTATCAAATTATTCTCACGACGTTTCGGCCACAACGCAAGCAGCCGTCCTCAGGTGAAGAACAGGTCTGTCGGAAAGACAGCGTCTGAATGGGCACCACCAGGCTTGGCAGCGTATATTTAAGCTGCTGGGTTGGAGGGGGAAGAGCGCATTGACAAAGGAATTTGCATATCAAGAGGAATTTAGCATATTTATGGGAAATGCAGATATGGGATTAGTCACTACTTGTGGAATTCTGCTTAATATCGATTATGTCAACGCACTGACCTAACAGTCGCAGTCGCCCATCGGCATTATTCATTTCCCGTGGATTAAATGACGCAACACACGCAGGGCCATGCTGCCATTGGCAGCTCTGGCTGTAAATTTAATGTCAGTGGGGTTTTGGGCGGGGGTGGGGGGGGCAGGTTTGCAGTGCAAGTAACTCACGCCAATTCCATCATGCCGAGTTTCGTGACGCTGTAATTAACCCAGGGGAGTTTTTTTTTACTTCAGAAACCCGTCCGGAATTGTCTGCCACAGTTTTTCATCGCAGCATGCTTTATTTAGATTTACCAGCGACAGTCGTAGTTTAAAAAGAAGAGGAATAAGCCCCTCGCCCCTCGAAATCCGCTTGGTAACACGCGCTGCGGTTTTCATCGGTTGAGCAAACGTTTTTTACAGACTCCGATGGAGCTTCATTGCATCTGGCCCACGGCTGGAGCTGGGATGGAGCTAAAGGCAGCTACTGTTCCACTCTGCAGGCTTCCTGTCCTATGTTCCAAGAGCTCTTCAGAATGCTGCACAAAATAAATAACCAACGTTCAAAAAAGTTAATACATTCCAAAGCATTCTTCAATGAATAACAAAGCTTCGCGTGATAGCTTTGCTAAACAAAAGAGTAAAATGGGTTTTTGTAGATTTCCAATGTGTGGATTTCATTACTTAGACCATATAATGCTACATGGCCCGGTTTAAAATATTCAACCTTCGTTTCACATCGGTTAAAAAACCCCTGTTTCATCAAGTGCCAAAGGATGGCTGCTTCACGCGTTCCATAACTCCCTTTCGCTTTGAAAATGCTGGTCAGTGTTGTGTGCCCACTGGTGGTATGCCAAATGGGTCAGACGCTGCTGATGCCCATTGGCATTGCACGCATCGCAGCTGGGCGGATGTGGCCTCCAACGGCAGACGAAAACGTGAAGCGGATTTGTGCCGCCAAGACCGCTCTTTGAGATAATTACACACACGGCTTAATTTCTCAACAAATATTTTCTGGGTCGCTGGTAGACAGACCGGCTCGAAATTCATGCCTGACCATACCCACAAAAAAAAGTAGCACAGCGAGTCTGCTTGACGCCCTTGTGGGATGACGTGTTCATCTCAGCGGGAATTTTCCCCTGGCTACATCGAATTTCAATTGTCACATTTGCACCTTCCATTATATATATTTAAACAAAAGAAGCACGCCACTTAGATGTTTCAGCACTTGCTAACATGTTCAAGGAGCGCGTTTGGAGCCCGTTTAAAAAAATGTCAAACAAATGTAATTATCTGCTAATCTACTGTACGGAGTTGTGTGAACTATAATTAATCATGTAGGTTTTTTTGGAGAAGCTTTTGCATTTGCAAGTTGTGCCAAATTCGCTCCAAGCCTTGTGTAAGGAAGTGCCGGATGTGGGGGGGGGGGGCGGGGGGGGGCTGCGTGCAACGTGGCACTGCGTGGCAAAGCTTAACGACGTGGGGAAACCGAGGCACAGCTCGCTGTGGCAAAAATGCCAATTATGATGATGATGATTATTCGCCCACTAAAAGCCGAGCTGAGTCTCTAAGCTCTTTTTTCAGGAGGATCCCGCATTTTGGATGTTTGGCCAGCAGCATCATGTGGAAGGTAACCCACCGCGGTGCGTACGAAAGGGCGGCTATAAACGTGTCCGTATCCTGAAGCCTACAACACCTGGCAAGTCCTGGTGGTCACCAATCCTCGTCCTAATCACGCTCAGCCATGCTTGGCTTTCGACATCTGATGATATCAGACGCATTCAGTGTGATTGAGTTGCAGCTGAAATGATAGGACAGGGCGTGGTCATGTGCGGTCGTGCTGATGGCTCAATGTGGCAAGGCACATCATAGCTTGGCGCGTATGCGCTTTGACACAATGTAACAAGTTATTTTAATAATACGCAACGTTTACTTGAATGTTAACGGTGCAAACTAGGCTGGTCAAATGAGATAGAATAAAGAAGACTGCACAAGTGAGTCAAACAATATGAACGAGACAGCACGAATACGACTATTAGAATAGTTCACCCCTAATCGTAACAATCATCAGATCATGCTGCAATAGGGGTGGGTGAAGTGAATTGTTGCTTGCATACGTGGCATGGCTCATTTGGGGATTTAAGGAGTCGACTAATTGCAACTGTGGTAAAATGCAATCCATCACTCGCATCACTAATCATTGCACACTTTTTCACGAGGTGCAAATATAATCCATCTGGCAATCCCCAAATGTCAATGAATGGCTTTCCAAACTCAACACACAGTTGTAAACTTGGTCCGTTTTTCAAATCCCATGTGGAAAAAAAAGAAAATGTGCTTTGGCTCTGTGACTCAGCATGCCATGGCATCGTGTGGCGTGATGTGGTGTGACACTGCACATCATGTGGCATGGTGCAGCGTGGCACGACGTTTGCGTGGCATGGCATTATAAGGCATGGCGTTGTATGCTATGGTGTGGCGTGGTGTGGCGTGACATGATGTGGCCTGACTTTGTGTGGCACTGAGGGGCATGGCGCGGCATTTGGCATGGTGCGGCACGGTGTGACTTTGTGTGGCGTAGCATGGCGTGGCAATACATGGCGCGGTATGGCATGATGTGGCGTAGCATGGCGTGGCAATGTGGCGTGGTATGGCATGATGTGGCGTAGCATGGCGTGGCAGTGCGTGGCGCGGTATGGCTTGCCTGGCGTGGTTGACTGCGTAGGCAGTGCGTGTCTCTCGGCCCCCGCGCTGCTCGATGTACTTGGCGGCTTGCACCACCTGCTCCGTGGTCTCGTAGTCGCTGAGAGTGAACTCGTGCACGGCCGTCTCCCCGTACTGCACGAGGCCCACCTGCGCCCCGCCACGCACAAACACAGCCCTTGCCGTGAATTTTTTCTGGATACCGTGGGTTCGTTTAAAGGAAATGTAATCACAAGTAGTACGAGTCGCATATCTGCATTTGCCATAAATATGCCAAAATTCGTAGTTGTATGGTGAATATGCAGCAGTGTGGTGTGCAGTAGGGTGGGTAGAATAATACATAGTGTAATATTACATAAATATGCTAAAATTCCTCTTGATATGCAAATTATTTTGTCAAGGCGCTCTTCCTCCTCCCTCCCAGCTTAAATAGACGCTCCAAGCCGAGGACGTGTCATTCAGACTCTGTCTTATCGACAGACCTGTTCTTCACCTGAGGACGGCTGCTTGCGTTGTGGCCGAAACGTCGTGAGAATTATTTTATTATGTTTTATTTTTATTATTTTATTATTTCCATTCTACGTGACTTTACCGAAAGAACCAAGAAGATGAAATGGAAATTTACTTTATTGAGCAAGGAAAAATAACGATCATCCTGAGCTGGTCTCTCCTGAAAATGAATCTTGAGACCGACCTATAGTTTCATTATTTATTGTCCTGGATAAAGACACTGGTATGGAGTTGGGGAGGAGTGGTGGTGCAGTGGTTGGCGCACTGTGCTACGAACATGGCCACCTGAGTTCAACTCCCAGACACAGCTAACTTGCATGGCGAGTGATTTTCGAACCCGTAGCGGGTTGACCCACCCCCATTGCTTCACCCACCCGTACTGACCAGCACAGTAAAGTATGGCCACGCAACAGCTGTGATCAACGTGGCATGACGACGCCTTAATCCAGCAGTGACAAAGGATGGAATAAAATAATAATATTAGCAGTTGATCGTATAAACACAGCAATGTGGCGCGTTCTGTTATGTGCGGGAATGGCAGTGTTCACAATGGTGACTCAGTGTGCTGTTGGTGGGCGTCTTGGCAAGCGCTCCATGCTGCACAAGTGCAACAGTTTCCTTCCCATGGCCTACTCGCTCGGCAGTCTGCGATGCACATCACGAATGCAGCAGCGGCATGAAGGAGGGCGAAACCTAATCTCTGCTAACAAAAAAAGCCCACTGGTCTTAGCATTTACGAACAAAACAAATTGTTTCCCTTATGTTTCCGCTCTCCTCTTCGCCCTCCCTCACCAACTGCCTCCATCGCTTGCTACTTTGATATTTCAAATGCACAATGACCATATCGGGATTATTATTAATATCATAATTCACAAGTGCCCTTGCGTGCACTCAGTTTGCAGAAGAATTGTTCATGGTCAGAATGACTGTTGACATTTTATACAGTTTTCCATCCTTGGTGAGGTTGAGATTTCCTGTGAGCCCAAAGCCTTCCCCCCCCTCGCCCCAACTTCATTCCTGACATCAAACATCTCAGACTCAACAGCACCAGGGAGTGATGGCGATAGATGTGATGGCTGTGAAGTCCATGATGTTGGCGATGTCACAGTGCAGGTGGCGTTGATGGTGGCCGAAAATGTTGATTGCCGTTATGGTTTGGTGCCAGTAACAACGGTGATGGTAATGATAATGTTGGAATACCACAGTGATGATGGTGGTGATCGTGATAGTCACGATGGCGATAACAGAAAAGTTGGTGGTGATGATGGTGGCTGCAATGTTATGATGGTCACGGGCATTTCGACAGTGGTGATAGTAGCGACCACTGCGGTTAAAGTTGGAATATGAAAGTGGTGATGGTGGTAGCCACGATGGTGATGATGGTGGCCATGGTAATTGTGTGGGCGGTGTCGGTGGTTTCTGGTAATGGTCGTCGAAGAGACGGGCGGAAAATACTTTGCCACTCAAGCCATTAAGAAGCGCTGCGTTAAATATCTAAATGATGTTTTCACAAGCCAATGTTTTGGGTAAGGGTCAATTTCCAGGTCATTAATAGAGACTGACATTTGACTGTGGATGCACGTGTATGTAGAGGATGCCAGGGATATCTGAAACAAAGTTTGCCATTGAAGGTTGACAGAAAGCATTGTAGATGCAGTCAGGATAAGGAGGTTGCAGGGGGTTGGCACATATTGAGAATGGAGAAATGCAGGTTCGTGGAAGAGGCATTATGAGTAGCACCCATTGGATGATGATCAATGGGCAGATAGTAGGAGATTTGTAATAGAGGACAACGACAGGATCTAGCAGAAGGATGGAGGTGACGACAAAGTTAGCATCAATGGCATTGACCATGATGCTCACTTGACCTTAAAACTCACATAGAACTGCACAGCCTTGCATACAAATTGAAGGAATCAAATTAAACTTTCTGTGCCTCTTTTTCAAACTTCGCTTTGTGCTTCAACACGCTCAGGCGGCGTACAAGTCGCACTGCGTTGTTTTTTTAAAGATCGCCGTTGAGGCACGCGCTCCCGGTGGCAGTGAAGATCAACTCGAAGGTGCCGCTATTCGCAGATGGTCAGGCTGCCCTGCCGATGTAAACATGACCTTTAGACGTAACCGCTCGCCAAGCACGCGGGGAGCGACGGGAGACCAGCGAGCTCATTTCCACGCCCTCGGATTTTAAGAGCCGCAGCCTTCGTTCAGCTGAGCCAAACGCAAACCAGATGTGGCCCATCGTGAAGGAGGGGGGGGGGGAGGTCGATGCAACATTTTCATAATTCTTTGACGACAAGCACAGGATAACCTTTGACCCCGCGGAAAGCTTTCCTCCGGCTCTACCTTTGACCCCCCAACATATAAAGCATCTCGAAATTAAACGAAAGAAAGACTTTTTTTTTGAGAAAGAAAGTGAAGCAGGAAAGGAAGTGGATACTCGCTGCCAAGACGTTTTCCTGTTGCGTAACCTTTTCCAGAATTTTTTTTAGACATCTCATTTGCCAGAAAAGAGAAGAGTAACGGTGTTCGTGAACAATGCGTTGTTGTCATTTGAACGTTCGTCCTGAAGAAGGAAAGGCTTCGGCCTCAAGATGTGCACTACACTTTCCACCGATTTCACATCCTCCTGAAATTGTGCATATTTCAAATTAGCAATATTATGGCATCTATCATCAAGAGACGAGGAGGCTGATGAGGTGAGGGGGGTGATGAGCTTCCAGCAAAAATTCTTTCTCACCGAATATTTTCTATGTTACTGGCAGGCTGGAGTAGATGCGTGACTAAGTGTCCCCTGCCACAGTAAGAGGTATGGTGGATGTAGTGTTCCTGCTGTGAAAATATTTTGTGGGTCAGTAACCTGGCCAGTTGACATTCAGCCGAAATTGTTCAGATTTTTTTATTTTTTATATGCAGGCCAGTAGTTATTTAAGCCTTTTACCCACATTAACCTAATATCAACATTGTACTTTCCGAACAGGTTTTACTGATACATATTCTGAGTCTGTATTTTTAGTTCATCTTTGTTTAACAAGTATTGGTAAATCTTCAGCCTGTCCATTACGCCACGCCTCACAACACCGCGAGCATTCTCTGTGGTTCACTGTAAAGGTTTTGTACTTTACTGCTCACTGTTTCTCTCAAGGGGTCAAGCAAAACCTAACTGCTGGGAAAGACAAAAATGCACACCGATAATTCACACATCAGCTGTTCGCGATGAATTTGCCCTGCCATGGATTCCCTTGCCCACACCTTTACTTTGACATTTTGGTTTCCAGTCTACAGGGCCTCGAGCGTCTCCCGGCCCCTTATTTCTCCATCCACTTAAGTAAACTGTTTTTGCCTCTGCATCATGAGCCATTATCTCTTCACTGCTGGATGAAGGCCTCCCCTAGCCATTGCCATTACTCTGTCTTGCAATACAACAATCCATCTAGCCCCCCCACCCCCACACACACATCTCTGGTCAGCACGGTTGGCTAAATGCGGAAGTTCAACAGGCATACATACAACAGCTGATTTAATCACCCTATATGGCCACTGCGGGTGAACGACATCAGGCATTGTGATTCATTTCACTACATTTTAGTAAATTTAGCACCATTCAAAGAAACATCTATTCTCACACACGATTGTCAAAGTCGAATTGAATCGATGCATTATCTGATGCTTAATTGCAAGAAAGATAAAAACAAACATGGCCTTGCTCTCAGATTTCTGACCATTGTCTTTTGGAGAAAGATGCTATGGCTTTGTAGCACTGAAAATAGTTCTGTTCAGGCCACTGACGCCTTTCACCGTATGACTCATTCACAGAGAACTGCAGCACTGCCACCAATCAATTCACATGCGAAAGCCAATCGCAGCACTCTAGGAATCGTTGGCAAAAACACTCAGAATCAGTTACTCGCGGTCTGGCGTAAGTTGGCCCACATCTGGTGTTACAGCGCAAACCCTCACCATCGCCTGAGCCGCGCTATTGGCAGCGACCTGGGTTTGGGGACAGTCACTGCTACAACCGTGCTGCCCCTGACCCTCACAGGGTCTTCCCAGTAAGGTCATGGGGTCACGGTTGGCCAAGGGGGTGGAGGGGGAAGGGGATTGTGACCTTTAACAAGCCCTAGCACCGCACGCTAGCTCCATGCACACACACACGCACACACGCGCTCACATGTATGAGCGGTGGTTGCGTTGCCAGAGGCAGTCCCACGGGACCGCTGCATCTGTTTTCGATGCCGTTTCGACCTAATTCTTTGTTTGCAGAATTTTATCGCAGGACACATTTTCTTGGCCGTCATTTCGGCACTGCAGTTGCACTTCCCTACGTAGAATCCCTCGCTTGCTTGAGCAGACTACAGTGCATACATAATTGTAGAGATAATCTACGGCCCACTGTCAATCAACTGCTAGATGAAAGCCACCGTTGATCATGTAGGTTGCGTGACTGTACATCACCACCCTGGTTGGTGCTGGTTCGTGAATGGAGGGCCCAAGACCTGTTCAGATATCATTGACGCCGACGTTAACCATAGGTGCGTATCCTTGTTCAAATAACACGCAGCAGTACTCATTTGCTTTGGCAGTGCGAAGCCAGTGATCTATATTCCATAACCCTGCGGCAGGGTTCACTGTCCAAACGACAACCACATTTATTTGTGATTTACAATCTGGATTTTTTAATCTCTTTATTCTGAAATTTTCTTCAGCATCTCAAATGGAGCCAACTTAGTTTGAGCCACGAATGTGGAGAATCAGTGCGTAGGAGAGAAATTGACGAATAACGGCGTTCAGGTTTTCAATATGGCCTTCGCGAGCATCCCCTCACCCGTGTCTGGCCTGGCCCGATGTGAAACTTCTTGACAATGTTGATGAGAAAGTTCTGGACCTCCTGCCATGGGTAGATGCTGTTAGAACCGTCCAGGACGATGACGATGTCCATGAAGAGGCCACATCCTGTCACACAAAGAACAAACGTCCAGCACATGAACGCGACAACGCTGATCAGTTCCATTATTTGAACGTTTGGCTTTTTCACAATTTTATTTCACATACGCTGTCGGCGTCATGCCATTTGTAACTCTTACAGCGAATTAAATCACCCAAGTTTAAAGAATGGCTCGTGGAAGGAGATATCACAGCACTACTTCTGAGATCCATTCAAGTAACATATTAGTCATGCTGGGGGTCCTACAAATTCCCACGTGTCCTACGATAGAAAATTTCATCACATGGTAGTCAAAACTAAAATTCTAAATTTTTTTTATCTCAGAGCTGGAATTTATACCACATGCAGTAAAAAACGAAATGTAATTTGATGGGATTTTATCACGCAGTTATTAATAAACAGGCTTAAACCACCATATTGCTTCACGTGAGAATCCAGTATTATTAAGGGCAGTTTTAATTACGTTTTAATCACAGATTTGATTCCTGGATCTCGGCGGTGCCCACTCAATACTACGACCACTGACCCTCCCGGCCACCTCCTGTAAGCACAATCTAGCCTTGCCCTGGCGGTCTATTAGACCATTTAGGATGACGATAATGGCCACGAATATGGACACACCCTGCCGAGCAGAGAAAGAACATCCAGCATATGAACGCGGAAACACAAAGCAGCACTCTAGTGAATAAATACATAAGCATGCCGCTGTATGTATAAAATAATTCAAACAAACGAATGGCTTGCTTACGCTGAGGTGTGTGTACATTGGCTGTCTGCAGAGTCAAAGCATGCACTGGTTGCCTAAATAATTAAGTCCTTTGGAATGTTCGTAATTATTTGTGCGTGTTGCAGTCGGTATGTGTGTGTGTGTGTGCGATTGAGGTCGGTCAAGTTCAATTCTTGGGCGTGATGCACATTCGTGGCATCTGGTTTGTGAGCCGAGTCCAGGTCCTCTGCTAAGTTGATGCCCAAAACTGAATACTTGTGTAGTGAGCGACTTCCACGACACGTCGTGTAGAAGGCTTCTTGTGTATTCTCACATTTTAAGCACAACACTGCGCGATACATCTATGCAACGTTTCTACGTAGCTACACATAGCCGACCCTTCTACACAACCCCATCGTCGGCGTCCAACTGCACAGCTGTCTGACTAGCGCAGCGACGACGACGATGAGAGAGCCTTGCAGAAGATCGGCGACGTGGCCGGACGACGAAGAGAGATGACGGCGAGCGGCGACGCAGCCAGGACCCAGGACCCGCAACAGCACCGAACCTCTGGTTCGGTCCCCCTTATATACACCCCAGCCACGCCCCCTTCCAGAACCTTCGAGCAGGTTCCCGGAGCTTCCCGACTGACTCCGCCTTTCACCTTTACCCCAGATACGCCCCCCTCATGATTAGACATTATGTAACATGCCCATAACCGCGATTACCCCTTCAGGCCGATAGGTGGCACCTTGTCATTACACTTGTATAAACATTACCCCCGGGAAAATTAAGACAATCTGTCATGCGTGGCACTGCCCACACCACCTTGATACAGCTGCAATTAGATGGTGCATCAATCCAAATTTCGTTGTAATTAATATTGCATTGCACGGATCAGCAGTCGCCGAGTATGCATAATTTTATAAACGTCTGAGTCTGCCCCGTGACCTCCTGTCCAGCGAGCCTTGCTCTTTCCACGTAGCATCAGAGCGCACGGAGCCTGGCACAGGTCTCCTGGTGACGCCACCACCACTATCGATGGCGGTGAACGATAAGTGTCGTGAGTGTTTGTGTGAGTGTGTAGACTACGACTGGGCAGTCAGAGACAATCACCCCCCAACAACAATGCACGGTGGAGGACATTCACAACAGTGAGCAGAGCGCCGGGCGGCTAAAACGCAGCAAGTTGGCACAGTGGGGAGCACAGGTGGTGTAACTGCGAGTCATCTCAGTTAACCCATACTACCTGGGTCTCTTCCGTGACCTCCTGCCAGCGAGTCATCGTCACTTTGACGCATGCTCAAAGTGCACCTTGCCTGACACGAGCGCAGTGGTGATGCCACCGTCACTTTTGTGGCAAATGGTGTTCGCCATCATCGTTGGTGTGTGCAGACTCACGCTGTGCGGCGGGCGTGAGCGTGCTTGTCACTTGGAAGTCGGCGCTCACATTGGTACAGACACCGGCCGTGAAATAGGAGCTTCCGCAGTGCTGGGCCCACAATGGCCCACACGCCTAGGGGAGCAGGGGTAAGGGGTCAGAGGTTGTTGCGGAGAGGGGTAGTGATGGGAAGGCATCGATAAATGGGAGGGTTTTTTTGTTGATGAGAGAGAAATGCCAGATCTGATCTGAAAGAGTCGAATACCATTGTTACATGTTGTTCTTATCTCTCCCCTTTGATTTCTTCTTAAGTAAGTTCTGCACTTTACGCTGGTTCCTGTTATATAAATATAGACCATCGTGACTGAGTGACTGATGTGATTTTTAATGATGTCGCAGGTGGGATAAGAGGCTTAGATTTGGCGCACATAGTGATGGCGGTGCTTATTTAGTTGCCAGATGTTAAAGGGTCTCGTTTGGCTTTTTTTATTTTGGCCACCAAAAATATTGCAACCAAGAGGTTGAATTGTTTGGCGCACAGGACAGCAGGGTCAGCCTCGACTTCTAAATTGCAAACAGTAAAAAAAAAGATCACCATCATCGGTGAATGAAGCAATTTGCTGCCAGTAGAGTTTGTTGTGAAATCCAATTTGCCAGTAATTGCTACCAGTTACGAATGTAAACTGTGTTAGTTGCCAAAAAGTTGATTTACGTTATTGACCAAGCGCAGACAACAATTCAGAGAATGCAAATGCATCACGTGCAACACGCAGTGAGCGAGCGTGAATACAAAGCATTTAACTTAACAACAACAGATTTGTTGACATGCGATACTCTAAATGGATAACAACGCTACGAGAGTCACGTGCGTGGCGCTGCATAATTACGAAGGGAAACACCACGTTCACAAACCGCTGGGCAGGGGCGAGAGTAAGCACAATGGGCACCATGGGCGCAAGTGCCCTTTGCGTACGATCAAAGGATTCGCCGCGCACGTGCGGAGCTGTGAGCGTGCGGCACATGGCAGGGATTTCAGCCAGATGCTTGGCCCAAAGCTGGCGCGGTAGCTTTGGGCCAAGCTCCTACGTGACCACCGTCTGGTGCTACTGGAGGAGGCTATGGTTGTCCCACAATTTTCCATAATAAAGGAGGGTTTTTTTGGGGTTGGATCGCGTAAATATTAATGTGTCGTTAAACCCGCCACCGCCCGACACGGCCAATTAGTTCAGGTTTGCCTCGTGAACAAAACGTGCAATTAAGTTGCTACTTCAGCACACCGGTATGTTGGAGAGTAAACCCACAACTGAACGCATCATCAGCCGTGGTCCGTCCGCTGCTGGATAAAGGCCTCCCCAGAGCCGTGAAGCCCACTGAGCTATATAGCTCTTTTTCAAAAGCGACCTGGCCACAGATGATAGCCCAGTGACGTGGCTTATCACGTGGCAATTTATCGAAGCAAAATACTCTAAACCCATGTTTCTAAATGTGGAGAGAAAAACCAGAGGACCCGTTGAAAAGTCCACGCGGCCACGGGGAGAATGTAAAAACTCAAAATAACCCGCGATCTCCTGTATACCAGGCGAAGTAGTTAACATCTCGCCACCACAGAAACCGCGCACAAGCCTGTCGGATAAGGCACGTCTCCCCAAATACAACGGAAATGTAGCGTACATGGTTAGACACGTGTGATGCAGCATGACCCGTGTCTTTATTTTTCAGTGCAGCACCGAGAACAGCCGAGAAATGTTTGAATATGTTTTTATTAGCTTTGTAATTCAAGGCTGACGTTCGATTCAAGAATCGATGCTTGTTTATTTATCGTGATGAACGTCGCATCTCTAGTGGCCACAAGGCTCACGGGAAACTGTCACGTGTGAGGCATATATATCAATCGCGATCAATTATTATCCGAACTATTTGGCAAGTTCGTGATTATAATTCACAGCCCTTTGTCAATCTGCTCCCCACACCGCGTCGATTATAGGGTTGTTGTTTTTTCCTTCCCATATTTCACCACACTGGTCAGTGTGGTGAAATAAAGGGAGTTGGCCCAGAACCCGATCAGATATTACTCACAAGTGATGTTAGCCATGGCTGAAAATCGAACTCAGGTGACCGAAATTTGTTTAGCGCAATGCGCAAACCAGTGCATCACCGCTACACCGACATACAAAATAACCGATCTTAATCGATGAATCTCGGCATTGTTGACACCCCGAGAGTTATTAATACGGCTCAGTATCGCGTTAGTGTCAGCCGTGGGGCTCTTTGCAGTTGCAGAGTTCGACCCCAGACTGCGGGCATTGCCATGCTGGGTCAGCGCCGCAGATGGAGGTGAACCGGTGCTGAGGCCCAACCCCAGGAGGAGGAACATTCAGCGAGACGTCTGTCTCGATCAGCGTGCTCCCAGACTGCGGTCACTGCTCTGCTGGGTCAGTGCCGCAATGGAGGTGCACCGGTGCTGAGGCCCAACCCCAGGAGGAGGAACATTCAGCGAGACGCCTGTCTCGATCAGCGTGCTCCCAGACTGCGGTCACTGCTCTGCTGGGTCAGTGCCGCAATGGAGGTGCACCGGTGCTGAGGCCCAACCCCAGGAGGAGGAACATTCAGCGAGACGCCTGTCTCGATCAGCGTGCTCCCAGACTGCGGTCACTGCTCTGCTGGGTCAGTGCCGCAATGGAGGTGAACCGGTGCTGAGGCCCAACCTCAGGAGGAGGAACAAATAATACTCCTTGGGTCTTTCGGTAAAGTCACGTAGGTAAAAAATAAAATAAATAACGACGTTTCGGGCGCAACACAAGCGTCCATCATCAGGTGGGAAAGCATGGTCTTCTGCTGATGCAGACTGTTTTAAAAGGTTTGAAATGGGTGTAGCTCAAGGGTCATAAATAAGTGGCAGAGGCTAGTCATGTTAATGGGTTCCTGCAGTCACGAAAGCTTCAAATCAAGTAGGAACAAATCAACGAGACGCCTGTCTGGATCAGCCTGCTCCTGGCGAAACCACTGTTTTCATTTTACGTCACTCACTGAAATGTATCTTCTCATCCTCCACGAGCACAACCCATTTTTGCTTTTAGGAGCCTCCGCCACGTTCCGAAACGCGATATTTATCGTTTCTCGCTGTGGAAGCAAGCCGCCGTTTGTGTTTGGGACAAATAATAGATTGAGTGAAGGCTAATGCGTGCTGCGCTACTGGTGTTGGCAGGAGCGCCGTTGCCGTCGCCAGCGACCATTCATCTGGCGGTGCCAGGAAATGCAGCAGGAGACCGGGATTCGTTTCACAGTCCAAGTTTGGATTTAGATTTCGCGACCATCGTCCCGGAGTTAGGTGTACACCTCCAAACCATAACATAGCTCAGGACAGATTTATTGATGGTCTGAATGCATGCAGCTGCGTCTCAAGATGCTGGGCAAATGCCATGACATGTTTCACCAGGAAAAAGAGGTGTATGCTTATAAAAAGCCATGTCTAAAAAAAACGTCGTATTCTTTAAGAAAAAATGACAATAACCCATTGGGAGAGTTGGAGAAGGTCTTGAGGCTGGACTTGAACTGGGGCGTGGCGCTGGCATCATCGATCACTGGAAGGAGGGAATTTCAGATTGTAGGGGTTACAGCAGAGGAGTGACGTGCAACAGAGCGAAGGTTGACTGGAGGCTTTTATAGAAGACGAGTTGCTCTGCTAGAGTTGGAAGCACATGAAATAAAATAATTAAATCAGGTGAGAGAAGAAAGGTTGGCAGGGGCGTGTCCGTAAAAGATCTTGAAAACTGTGACCGCGATCACGATGAAGTCCATCCAGAACGGGACTGGTAACTGGTGGAGAAGTCTGGATAACGGAGTGATGCGGCCTCGTTTTATGGGTGCGTGTAAGGAATCCATGGAGCATGGCAAGTGCGCACATTGAAACGACCTACAAGCCATGAGTCTATTCCCACCGAGATGGAATTTGGCCCTGGCACCGACACACGAAGAACCACATTTTAACATCTTGGCGGTACACCGGTCTGGCGGAATAAAAAAAAGCACATTTTTCGCAATAATTATTTCTTTTATTCACAATCCCGGTCATAAAACCTCGCGGAGTGTGACAAAACCAGTTCTCGTGATGTCGAAGCAGTCCAGATGACGAACGTTATGAGGACCTGAACACGAAGCTTCACAGCTTGTTACCGTTTAGCACCCAGCCTGATGGGGATTGACTGCTCCGTGTTCCAAAGGCAGATTTGACTCCTCGTGCCCTCGACTTCGTCGGACGGTTCCTCGTGTCAACGGACCCAAAGAAACGGTCAATATTGACCCTTTTTAGCTCAGTAGACTGAACAAACTTGCAAATCGCGTCAAGTGTGGCGACAGGGTCTATTTAAGACTGATAAACAGATTTGCTGAGTGAAATTTGTATTCTAGACTGTTTGATGAGGACCGGTGTGTTATGCTGCACCGGTGTACCGCCAATACATCCGTTTGTTTAATATCTGGGGTCTCTGACTTCTGCGATGAAATCAGCTTCAGGACAGGCGAAGCGGTCCACTGTGAAACAGGAAGGGGGAATTTGATATCCGGTGTGATGCTAAGGGATGCTGTGCGATCCAACATCCACAACTCAACACCGCCGTCAGAAGCGAGGGTCAAGATAACCTCTGGCCCACAGGCGGACTCACGGTCCCGTAACTCACCCTCTGGTGCTACTGATCTATGCTTCCGATCGATTACCGTCACCGCAAGGCAGACACGAGAGGAAAAGAATGTGTTGTCGCGGAAGGTTGAGTTTAAAGGGATAATTTTAAACTTGAGGTTTGTTTGGCAGAATTCTTTGCTTTATACCAAAGGCCAACCGTGACGGAAGTTGGTGTTGTAAACGATGAGTCACGGAGCCCGGGAAGCTGAATTTTTACAGATGGAAGTTATCTTTCCCTGTATTTTGCTTGCATGTTGACTACAATAAATAAATAAAAATCACAATTGAAACTTAAAGAGGCCGCACAGTTGAAATGAAACATTGCTAAGCAGTAAAATAAAATTATGTAAAGTTATTTTATTTCCAACTACGTGACTTTACCGATAGAACCAAAGAGCATGTATTCCTGCAGTCACGAAAGCTTCAAATCAAGATTGCTAAGCAGCACTGCTTAAAACTTTGAACCATCCGGTGTCATTCACAGTGGTGGCAACACATTTATTTTCTTTCCCCATTATTTCGCCTCTTTGTACCGTTGAACAAAAATGTACACATCCTGTACACGCCGCAGTTTTGACGTCTCTCACCAGAAATCCATTGCTGATTGGGTCATTCACGAGCGTCATTCCCAGTGTCATGTTGTCCTGCAGTTCAGTGGCGTTGGAGACGGAAATGGAATCTGGAGAGAAAAAAGATATAACCCTAAACAAACACGAAATGTGTAAAGCTATCAAACGAGGGTCACGATCGTTCCCACCCCACTCGCCCCCATCGCAGAGATTCAACGAATCGTCTCAATCCTAGGCCGCAAATCGATTTAAACGGTCGGTTCTTTTTCATCTTTTTTCTACCATCTTGTTCCTATCCCATTTTGTACAGCTTGATGCACTTGATGCACTCCGTTAGCCTAAATATAATGTTGATGCAACATTTGCATATTGTGTTAAGCATTGGTATGTATGTGGTTTTCACGTGCATAATTGAAGGGAAGTGTTTAATTAGAGAAGTGTTTAATTCATTTTTCGATTTAAAGCTTTCGTGACTGCAGGGATTCATCTTCTTGGTTCTTTCGGTAAAGTCACGTAGAAGGGAAGTAATAAAATAATAAAAATAAAACATCATAAAATACAATTCTCACGATGTCTTCACCTGAAGACGGCTGCTTGCGTTGTTGCCGAAACGTCGTGAGAATTATTTTATTTTATTATGTTTTATTTTTATTATTTTATTACTTCCCTTCTACGTGGCTTTACCGAAAGAACCAAGAAGATGTTTAATTCATTGTTTAATTAATTTTAATCGATGTCTCATCATGTGCCTTCATGTCCTCTGCTGCCCTCATAGTGTGGCTCCCCCCACGCCTCCCCCCAGTCATTCGTGCTGTTGGCTCCCTGCTCCCGTTCAAGTCCAGGATGAAAACCTCCTTTTTTTCCTCTGCTTATAACCGACTACCTCTCCATACAAAATAAATATTTGCGTGCAGGCGTCTTGAAATTTGGTCGCATTCCGACCATATACAATTTCAAATTGCATCATACTGTGTGGTATAGAAAATTTGGGTGCATCGCACGCAGTGCATTCCACCGTTGCCCACTGTGCAGCAGCGTGCAGAAGGGGTCCCTAACCAATCTCGTAGGTAGAAAATAAAATAAATTAAATCACGACGATTCAGAAGCAACACAAGCGTCCGTCATCAGGTGTGACAACCACAGCAAGACACAATTGCTCAAGTTTACTTAAGTGCCCACTTCAGCAATTGTTTCTTGTTGTGGTTGTCCCACCTGATGACGGACGCTTGTGTTGCTTCCAAAACGTCGTGATTTAATTTATTTCATTTTATACCTACGTGACTTTACCGAAAGAACCAAAGAGTATAGTCCTTAACCACTCTGCAATATTGCCCCAGGATTTGGCAGCGTCATTAAATGGTGCTCTCCACACATTTCCCCTGTGCACCATGATGTCCTTCATAGGTGCTCGCGATTACAGCACTTTCCCGAACAGCCAGTTAAAGGCTACACGGGCGAACTTTGTGTTTGTGTGAATGCCCATGTGTTTTGAGTGCTAACATGTGTGTGTGTATATACATGCCTGCGTGTTGGTGAATACGCGTGTTATATTTGTGTGCAGGAGCGGTAATGCAACGGTTAGCGCGCTGCACTACGAACCCAGCGACCAGCGTTCGATTCCCGCTAACGGCCAACACCAGTGACGATTATCTGAACCGGTTCTTGGTCTCCACTAGTTCGACTCAGGCTCAAATGAGTATCTGGTGCGATTTGTAAACATTGCCACTAGGGAGACAAAGGCGGCCGAGCGTGCTGGTGGCCACCCACCCCCTCGTGTGCCACGTCGGCCTTCATAGGTGCTCGTTAACAGCACTTGCCCCAACAGTCTATGCACGCTATACGGAGGATCATCGTCTTTGTTTGCGTGTTGGTGAATACGTGTGTTATATTTGTGCGTGTGTGGGCCCTCACTGCTCAGGTGCAGCGGCACGCAGCCCCTGCGGTAGGTGTCGGGAATAGGACACTTGTAGACATCGCCCATCTTCCGGTAAGGGGTTCCTTCCCAAGGTGCACCCACCAGCAGCCTGGCACAGAGGGGAAGGGGGGGAGGTGAAAACGTTACCACCGACGCACAACGCCTGCGGGGTGACTAGGCCAAACGGGGCAGTGATTTTCCTTGTCGGTGATTTTTTTGTGTGTATCTGCGGACACTTAAGAAACCGGCTGAATCGTCGGTGGATAATAAGGTTGCACTCGTTACACACAAAGTGCTTGCTGCCAATGAACCACAACAGCGTGCTGATCTCGTCAAGGAGCATAAACCAGCACGCGAACTCCGGTCACCCTCGCAGCAGCGGCTTGTTTGGCTTTACCATCGAACAGAGACGGTCACCACATCGCGCGCTTTCAGGTGCGCCTCTACGGCCGTCTGGAACGCTCTCTTTGCTTCCGATATTAGGAAGTCACTGGAGCGACGCAATTTTAGATCTAGTTTGAAAACTCGCTTCTTCGGAACTGCTTTTTGTGCTTGGTTTGTTGTCCTCCACCCACACCTCCGATCACCAAGGGTTGGCTACGTACGGTGCAAAATTAAGTTCAACATACATACATACATGAATCTCGGCAGTGTGCGCTCAGTCGTCCCATGTGGACATTGGCCCCAAAAGCCACCCAGCCCATATGCCAACTTAATTAGGTAACAGCAAAGCCAGTTTTCCATTAATTCAGATTTATATTTCTGGATTGGCACCTCATGCAGGATGCTGCTTGCCCAGTTACAGCTCTGAGCCAGGCCAGACCCAGGAGCTTTCCCAGACATCGGACCAAAGCAATGGCATCACAATGCAAGCCTTTCCCTACTTGGCTGTGCCTTGGTGAATAATCTGACAGTTGTTTTCCATCCTAAAAGAGTATAGCACTGCTGGTTGGAGAACAAGTGCATGCACATGTCTTCTATGTATAGTTGAACGACTTCCCGACACACGTCTTAGTTGAAGGCTTCTTATTTATTAAGAGCACACAGGTCGATACACTTCATAACGCAGCTACAACCAGCCTCTTCTTAACACGCAGCCCATCTCCGACCTGCGCTATGTTGGCTGGTGGACGCCCCCTTTCTCGAACCTACTAGACCCTTCGGGATGGTTCCCGGAGCTTCTCGACTGACACCGCCCTTAACCTTGTCAGAGATTGGCATAACGTGCCCTCGTCCCTCAACCTCCCCCACGGCATCCTATGTGAGACAACGTTCTTCTGTCCCTTTGACCCTGTTTATCTATTCGTTCCAGTTTTTTTCGCATCGCAAGCACAGTCCAGGCCCGATCAAAATTTCAACGATGCATTCGAAACCAGGGGCGTTGTGATTCACCACCACCCACCCACGGCGAACTCCGGTAACCCTCGCAGCGGCTTTTGGCGAGCCAACGGACAAAGACGATCACTGCATCGCGTGCTTTCAGATGCGCATGAACGACCGTCTGGAACACTCTTCCTTCTAATATTTGGAATGTCACTGAAGCTGTGCACTTTGAAATCTAGATTGAAAAACTAATTTCTTTAGAACCGATTTTTGTGTTTAGTTTGTTGTCCTTCCCCCCACACCTTCTATTCGCGCGGTTGGCCACGTACAGCGCGAAATAAGTTCAACATACATACATCGTTGTAATTCATGGCTGTGATTAGTTAGAAGACTCGATTCTCTTTGGTCTTGTTTTGTCGCCTCGTTTGTATTGTTTCCCATTCTATTCCGTCTCCGATTTACAGTTCTGTTTGCTACACGTGTCCAAACGCAACATGAGCAAATCGCCTGCTCGCAATTCACATGAATTGAAAAAAAAACCTCGTGATAGTTTTTTTTTATATGTATTACACATGCATGCACAAGTTGACGCTTTGCGTATCGTAAACCTTGAAAATGGATATCGGTAGACGAATGGACGCACCATTGCACCACTATCAAGAGCCCGCTTGCGTGGGTTGCAAATAGATCCGCAAGTACTGCACTTTAAACGTCACCGAAGGATGCCAAGATGGAGAAATAAGTTGTTTGGTTGCAGCTTTGATGTTTTGCGCATCAAAGGGCCCTTATGAAAGGGTTATGGATTGTTGCGGTGGGGTTGAATGATTGGCGATTACAACTGCAAAATCCTTTCTCTTCGAGGGTCTTTAAAACCAACTGCCCTGCCGACATCATGACCTGTGCACTCGTTTTTAGTATGTTTACATCTTTGGTCATGAGAGCCTTTGTAAGTCTTTCAAGAATTTCAAGAGGATCTGACCAATCAACTGTTATCAATCGTTCACCCCTACTTCACCACATTGATCAGTGATGTGGATTGGTCGGGAGGGTCGGGCGGGGGGAGGGGGTCCCGGGGTCTGTTCAGATTTGATTCACGACTGAATATTAGCTTTGACTGGGAATCAGATTTGGGTCACTGAGTTCATAGCGGAGTGCATGGACCACTGCGCCACTGCTCCCCGCAGCCAGTGATATTCATCAGCAACTTTATTTACCCTGCAAAGTCTCAGGGGGTCTCAGAAGGGGTCCTGCATCGAGATGTTTGCCCAATTCCATGGATGAGTGTTTGACGCTTGGGAGGAAACTCGGGGGTGACACTCAAAGTTCCGCACGGTTAAATTCGAAATTTGCTACTGTAGTGTCCTCTACTGGCTTCCTGTTGTTGCATACGTTTGGCTTGTGTAAGAGAAAGCTAAGTGTTTGCTACAGAGGAAAAAACCCACATTCAACCCATGTCAGAAAACCTACTTGCCGTTCTGTTCCCCTACATCACCGGTGGCCAACTGGTGTTTCCCGATCCGCACGCGGTTCTATCGAAGGGTTGTAACGTACTAACGCAGTAGCAAAGGTTAGTGAATGTCTCCCGTGCTGTGCCAAAAACTGTCAATATATGCACTTATATATCCACACACGCTTGGCTCCTTGCAGAACTTGGTCTGTGACAGGTTGGCCACCCCTCACCTAAATCTACCCCAGTGCTCTGCACGTGATTGTGTCACATGCACCAGTGTTTTCATCCCGGTGTGTGTTCCACGAACCACCCCCACAACATTTCTGAATTGCAAGCGTGTATCACCGGCACGTGCAGCGAACCACCCTCCGACGGTAATGCGAATAATCTTTCTCTTCGTGCGGCGGGGAGTTGATCAAGAAACGTTTGTTTCGTTCACGTCGGGGTTTGGCGAGTGAGCCGGTGGACGGCTTCGGGAGTAGCCTGGTGATGATTATTGAAATGGGTGCTATTTCAGATAATCATCAGCGAATGGTCGAAGTGGCAAGAGGCGTTAAGGTTGGTGATCACGGTCGCACTGAGGGCTACTCTCGATTCTCCGTGAAGGCCGGAGATGGCCACATCTGCCGTGCGATGAAAGGAAACCCGCGGTGGCTTTATTTAAATTCATAGAAAAGTAGTCTGGTATGTCTCGAAACGTAATTGTCCTTCCCCCCCTCCCCTCCTGAATAATTGCTGTCAGGCATAAGTAGATGTGTTTTTGTTCATCGACAAAGGCTATTTTGCAGTGGCATGGTGAATCAGGTTTTTTCCTAGTCGTATCACATCCACGTTTTTAAAAAAAACATTACTTTGTCAATGTTGCCCCACCTCCCCCACCCCATCGCGCGCACATTTCATGCCCAACAGCGCACGAGGAAGAGGGCCGTGTAAAATGCAAATGACGGTGCGTGAGGAGTCGTCGGTGGAAATAATGAAATAATGGTTGCCACCGAAAGAAAGAAATAACTGCTCGAAAACTCAGGTAACGAAAAAAATGGGGGGGGGGGGGGAAGAGCTCAGACACAAAAGCACGTGTGTGTGGGTGGGTGCCGGCTGTGTCGGCGGCTACCCCAGGGCTCGACTGCGTGCCGCCGTTTTTTGTTGTAACCATCATCATTATGCCTCTCCGCTCAGACACACACGGCCGCGGTTGCGTAAACCTCCCCCCCGCCTCCCCCCGGGGTATCAGAGTTGAGGCTCTAGAACCGAGCGATGCAGTCACAACAGAGCACGTGTTCTCTCTTCACGCACAAGTGTTCCATATTTACTCCGTTTAAATTTAAAAAAAAAGAATGAAAACATTCCGGAAACTATCAATAATTCTCCGGGCAAACTCTCTTTCTCTCTCTCCTCATTCCACACCCGCTATTGTATGACCTTGTTATTCACCTCTTTCCTTGTTTTTGCCATCAATTTTCATCCTTTATTTGACCAGGCGAGAGCCTGTTGAAATCCATCGCCTCCTTTACAAATCAAAGTCCGAAATCACTCGAGTTGATCTGATTTTGGGATTCGGGCTGTTCCGCCGTACGACAATGTGCCATCCTTGTCCATGAGATGACGTCCCAGGGTATTTAACGCGCATGAACAGTCCTTTGCCTGTCGACTATTGGATGAGGTGCCCCCCTCCCCAAGCCGTGCGGATCGTGGGGTATATTCGATCATTCTCGACCACAATTTGTCTGTGCACGATGGCAAAGGTGGGTGATCATAGATGAAGGAGCACAGAAGCACAGTCGAAAAACATCGTACTTTGCTGCACTGTATCGTCTGCGGCCCACCCCACAGCCATCTCAGAATCAATAGTCCATAACACCTGTCACGTATGTACGCATGTATGTTGAACTTCTTTCGCACCGTACGTTGCCAACTGTGCATCGTTGCAGGCACACACCCTGCTGAGCTTCTGAGACCTGGCGAGATGCGGCGGCGCATTTTGCAGGGTGGTTTGATAACGGGCGTCACAAAGTGACGGCATTCCGTGGCGAATTCTCAGCAGTAATTACCAGACAGCTGTAAGAATAAATCCGCCGACTGTAAAGACGCTGGCTCCGCTGGCGAGCGACTTAATCAGGCATGATTAAAGCTACCTTTTATTTTCACCCCAACCACACACGCGCACTGTGCCTTAACTCGGGTCACATTTGCAGCTGGAAAACATATTGGTGGCAAACTTCGTCAGAAGCCTTTTGTTTTGCCGCGTGTCCTTTTGCGTAACTCTACCACTGCCAGCCTCCTCGTAATGTCCATAAGAGAATGTTACCTCTCACGCTGGGAAAAAAAGACATCTTCAT